GCGCCCCGCAGGGCCACCTACTCCCTCGACGCGACCCTGGCGCAGTTTAGCCTGCTGCCCGACAGGGCGCCCAGCGTGCAGTTCGATCTCCTAGACATCCTGGAGGCTAGCCTCTAATATGCTCTGTGCAGTAGTCGAACCCAGGTTGTGCACAAAACTGCGTTGTTCCATCGATCGGGGCGGGGATCCCGACCGCGTTTTGTTTCCTTGGTCAATTGGTCAGCTTCCACATGTTAAGACAATGCGTCAGCCAGCGTGGGCCCGAATCATTGCGTATTGCCCTGTGGATGTGCCAGCTACGTCGTGCACTCTGCGTGGTGCAAGCTACGCTGTGCACGCGACGTAGTGCAAGCTATGTGGTGTAATGTATGTGTCTCCAACCTACGTGCTGCCATTTATGTGGTGAACAGATACGTGATGGAAGTTCCGCGATTACCTAAGCGGCGCAGTCCACGCGGTGCAAGCGATCTGTGTGATGTAAGCTATGTTGTGTAAGTTTTACATCTTTGTGGTGCAGGCTGGAGATGCCAGTTATGTGGTGCAGTCGATGCGTGTTCATTAGTGGGTAGTCCATAGTTTACGCGCCGCGAAGCCCCCACAAGGACATTCAGGAATCGTGCCCATGAGCGCTGACGGAAACAAGGGACGAGGACTCACAGATAGTGAAACAGAGCGTGGGACCAGGGTGAACAAGGGAAATCTCAGGGAGCAAAGAGGGCCTCTCCGGGCCATCCCCAGGGCCCGCGCGGGAACGAGAGGCGACGGATGAGGCAGACGACGACGACCACGACGACGAAGAACAGGAAGAACATCAAGAGGGAGACGATGAGGACAAAACCGAGGACGAGGATGAACACAACGGGGACGAGGATCCATGGGGCCATCTTATGAGGATATGGAGATTATCTTGGAGCATCGGAGGCGTTCTTGGAGCAACGGGGCTGCATTGGGGGATTGGGGTTCTCTTGGAGTTCTTTTGGGGCATTGGGGGGGCATTTTGTAGCTCTTTGGTGGGTCTTGGGGTCCTTTTGGATTTTTTGGGGTGCGCCTTGGGGCTCTCATGGGGCCTGTTTGGAGCTCTGTTGGGTTTTTTGTTTGAGCCCTCGTGGGAGCTATGGGCCAGAACAGACAGGCCCAAGATGGGCCCAAGAGCGGGAGCAGGAGGCTTCCAGAGACCTCCGAGAAGCCTCTGGGACCACCCAGAGGCCCCCCACACACCTCCGATCCCTGAGAGGCCCCAAAAAGACCCCGACGAGGCTCCAAGAACAGCCCAAGAGAGCAGCGAGAGCCGTTCCGAGAGAGCCCAAAGCGGGTAAAATCGTTGATTCCCCATGGTTTCCCTAAGGTTTTTCACCTTCTCACGTTTTCCTGCTTCCAACCCTCAAAGATGAAAATTTTGAAAAGAAAAGAAAGGAATTTCCATACTTTCTTTCTTTCCAAGACGTGGAACCCCTACTCGGGGGTCCTACACATCCCCTGACATCTGGCCAGTACCGCGCCTCCCGGTTCTTAATGGTTTCGCGGAGTCTCCGAAGGCCCCACGGAATCCGGGAATTTTGGGTAGATGCTCATCCATTCAGGACTCAGGACAGAAATTCATGCGCGAACCAAGCATGTCCATCTCTCGTTCAAGTGCCGTGTGGGATAAGTAATGCTGGTGTATTTAATTGCATGGCTCTGCAGCCCAGGGTAGCAGCGCCGTTCACGCAGCAGTACCAGTGCTGGCCGCTGCATCCCTGGCACTTTCTGCTCAGAGCAAGCGAGAGAAGATTCCCGCGGCAGAGTTATCATAGAGAAAAAACATGGCGGGCGGACGGACGACGGACGTCGGACGACGGAAGACGACGACGAGACCGCCCAAGGGGGAGGGGACTTGGGGTGGCCTTGGGGTGGTCAAATTTTCCCAAACTCCCCCCGTCGCAACACAATTTGCCCCTCCTTGGCTCCGAGATCCGCTTTGAGGTCTTTGGGTGATTCTTTCGGCCTGAAGAGGGTTCCGAGCTGGTTCAGGAGGACGCCCGCTGGCCGCCAAGCTGGCCCCGTAGTGATCCAAGACGCTGCAAGACGTTTCAAGGCGGCCCCCAGGGGCCACAAGATGCCCCAGTGTGACTCCCACAGCCCCTCCCAAATGACCCCAAAGAGCCACAACCGCAAAAGCCATTCAGGTTTCTCCGTATTTCAATAAATCTCACGCTCGTCTCCTTCGGATGGCGTCGTGAGAGGCTTCACATGGCGCCGAGGCTCGAGATGGCCCCACAACTTAGAAGAAGAGCCCAAGAGGGGCCCAAGCGGGCCCCAAGGATTTCAAGGCAGCCCAAACAGCGCATAATCCCAAGCAAGAGGAGGCTGTCAATAAGAACGAGAAACGAAAAGCTAGGACAACCGAGAGAGTCTGGAGAGTTAACGAGGAAGGACGTATAAGGAATATTGGAGGACGAGGTAAGGCAAGGCATGGAGTGAGCCTGTCCGGAAAGCACGCGCAGCTAACAACGCCATGGCATGCGCTAGAACCCAAGCGCGCGCGAAGCGCGCGCGCGGTTCTATATAATGTAAATGAATACCGCCCCCCCCAGGCCCCGGGTCCCACACCTCCCCGCCACATCTCGGGGACGCTCCTGGTACCGCTCCCCCGGCCTTTTCCGGGGAGCCTCCACAGCGTCTCAGAGGGCCTAAGACGCTTCCCAGAAGCCCCCAGAATTCGAAAGAATGGTCCAAGACGCTCCCGAGCAGCCCAAGTCAGCCTTCCGACGGCTCTCGAGGCTCCCAGGTGGCCTCCAAGAGACCCCAAGAGAGGTCCGAGAGGCGTCCCGGGACGGCCCGAAGAGGCCAAAATCGTAGATGTTAATTTGTTTTTGTTCATGTTTTGGCTTCTCGCGCTTTCGAGCTTCCTATGGTCCAAGAGCGCTGAAGAGGCTCCCAAGACCGCCCCAAGACCACCCAAGAGACCCTCAGGACGGCCCCAAGACGGGCCAAGAAGGCTCCAAGATTGCCGAAGAGGCGCCCAGGACAGCCCCAGACCACCCCAGAACAGGCCCAAGATGGGCTCAAGAGCGGGAGCAGGAGGCTTCCAGAGACCTCCGAGAGGCCTCCGGGACCCCCCATGGGGCCCCCAACCCATCCCCGATCCCTGAGAGGCCCCAAAAAGACCCCGACGAGGCTCCAAGAACAGCCCAAGAGAGCTGCGACCGCCGTCCCGAAGAGCCCAAAGAGGGTAAAATCATTGATTCCCCATGGTTTTCCTAAGGTTTTTCGCCTTCTCACGTTTTCCTGCTTCCAGCCCTCGAAGATCGAGGATTTTGAAAAAAAGTGAATCCCCAGAATTCTATTTTTTTTACAAGTGGGACTCCTCTTCGGGGGTACCACACATCCCCTGACATCTGGCCGGTACCGCGCCTCCCGGCTTCCCGGGGGGAGACCCCAAGACGCCGAAGGACAGCCCATGACGACCTCAAGGAGCCCCCAGAATGTAAAGAACGGCCCAACACGCTCCCGCGCAGCTCGAGACACCCTTCCGGCGGCTCTCCAGGCCTCCAGGAGGCCTCCAGAAGCTCCAGGGGGTCTGGAAGATCCCACACCCCTGAGGGGCCCGGCTGACAAAACCCGCGAGGCACAAACAAAAAACAGCGCCGAACAGCGCCGAGGAACTGAAAAAACATGAAAATCGCACAATTCCTTTTTTTTCAAGTTTGGCCCCTGCTCTACTCTTGCACAACAGACCACAATCCAGACCTGCCTCACCTCCCAAAAAAGAACCCAGGCAGCCTTTGAGGGCCCCAAATCGTTGAATACCTCAGGGAAAGTAATGAATTCTGTGTTTCCGCACTTCCCTTCTATACGATTCCGATGCTTGAGCAGGGCCTCCAAGGGAACCCCTGGACGCAAGAAGCGACCAAAAGGAGATTACATGAGTTAGCCTATCAAGCCTAGCTAGAACTTGAGCGCGCGCGAAGCGCGCGATGGTTCGAGAATATATACATATATACACACATATATGTATACAACACATATACTTGTATACACATATATATATACACTCATCAACATTTATACAGATATGCTACAGTTGGTTCTTGATTTTGAATGTTGGGGGCCGTTTGCACAAAAAAGTTGGAAAGTGACACGCCGTGAACCATTCACGCCCAGAGGGCTTGCGGGATGTGGTGTGCTTGTGCTTCATTTCCTTATATTTGAAGTCTGGGCAACGTCAGGCTGGAGGATTCAGCTCAGAGCGCCCCAGCTATAAACGAGTGAGTCCTGGAGCTGCTATGTCCCGTATTGGCGCGGATGCAGGGAGGCACCCAAGCCAGACACTTTGGAGGAGGTTTAGGGCAGCGGAGGCGAAGGCAGATGCGGAGGGAATGAAGGGGGGATTCCACGCCATTTTCAAGACTGTTTTCCTTTCAGCGTTTGGTTGCCGCCGCTTCAGGCCCAAGCTTGGGTTCTTCATGCCGCATCGACTCACCCTGAGTGCCCAGTGTCTAAGTATTCAGGCGTTTCAGGAGCAATGGACACAGCGGGCGCGTCTGTTGATTATCCAAATGCGCTGCCGCGCGGGTCCGCCACCGCGTTCGGAACGAGCTGCCACGTAAATATTAGAATCTGAGAATCGCGTAGAAGCAGCGACTCGGCCCACACCCGCCGCGGCAAAGCGTTTGGCGGATTACCAGATGCATATCGATGACGATACATTTCTTTGTTGCCCCATTCCCAACAATACCCCTGTCGCAGGTGTCATGCTGAGCCACCGGTTGGAGAGGCTGCAAGAACTTTCTACTAAGAATTTGGGTTTATCAATCTTATGTTTGATGTACACTGGTACCAATATAGCATGTTTGACTATCACCGCTATGGACAAGACCTTTCGAGATGCTCATGATGTCGTGTTCCACCTGATCGAGTTCTGGGCGACGTTCGCCTTTTCCTGCGTGCAGGTGTATGCGCTCGTGTTCTCGCCGCGCAGCCTTGTGGCTGTTTACAGCCACCCCCTTGTCCTCAAGGTGATCATCTTCTTCAACGTGCTGGCCACGTTCATCTCAGCCTTATCCGCGCGTGCTTCGCCCTCTGCCGAGGGCCCCCACTCCTGTCGGAACGGGAGGCGCCGGAGCTGTGCTCGGACGTCTCGGCGCCGCTTTGAAAACTTGTGGGACCATCGTGCGAGTGCGATAGGCGTTCGCCAGAGGAGGAAGAGGTACCGATACCCCTACCCTTCGCCCGTTTTCTTCTTTTTCGGAGGCCCTCGTCGCCACCGCTGGATTCGCCTCGGAATGCTGGTCAGAACGCGCCCGGGGAGAGGTCCGGGCAGTAGCGGTATTGGTACCTCTTTGTTTCCCCGATGCGGTACGTATTTTGAGCGCTGCAGTTGTAGAAAGTTGTGGTGCCTTCTCAGAGTGCGAGTCTGGCATGCCTTACTCGGAGGATGTTGGCCTCGGGAGCGCGAGCTTGTCGCAACGGATTCTTGCCTCGGGGGCTCGAATCTGGCGGAACTTGCAGCAAGGATTCTGGCCTCGGCAGCGCGAATCTGTCGTACTTTACAGCGGATTATGTCCTCGGATTGTGCCACTGTGCGAGGGATTCTGGCGTTGGGAACGCGAGGCTCGCGTAATGTACATGGAATTCTGGCATCGGGGGCGTGACTATCCCGGAGATCGCAGTACAGGGTTTGGCCTTCGGGTGCGTGAATTTGGAGTAACTTGCAACGGATGCTAGCCTCGGGAGCTCGAATCAAGAGTAATGAAGTACGAAGGATTCTGGTTTCGGGAGCGTGAGTTCGGCGTGACTCACGAAGGATTCTGGCCTCGGTGACGCGAATCTGGTGCAATTCTTTTAATGAATTCTGGCCTCGGGAGGGCGAATCTGGTGTATTTTCCTGAGGTCGCTGGCTTCGGTAGCGCGAGCCTCGTGTCATTTCCGTGGAATTCTGGCTTCGGGAATGTGAATCTGGCGTGATCTACGGTGGGCCACTGCTTCGCGGGCGCGAGTCTCACTGTTTCACGTGTCCCAGACCCACCAGACATTCCGGCGACGCTATTCGGGGATGGTGGCCAAGGCGACGTTCGGTCCCCCCACCCTCGCGCGGACAGCAACAATCCGAAGTGGGACACCGAAGGTCGAAAGCAGTTGCCTTGGCCAGCTCAACCTGTCAACCCAACCGACTCAACAAGCCAGCCGACCCAACCAGCCACCCCGCCAACCCGTCAGCCAACCAGCCTAACCAGCTATCTCTTTAGCGCCGCCGAGAGGGGGGGGACGTGTTTCTTACCAGCGAAAACGACGAAACCCACATCGGGGTGAGGGTACGTAAATCCCACCGTGCTACGGAGGGACAGGCTTCGTGCCGCGGGGCGTCCGAGACGGTTTGGGGCCTCAAGTGTGACGCCGTCGCCATTCTTCCATGTTCACGGGCCTCCCTTGTCTTCCGAAACGCTCCCATCCTCGGAATTGCCGCGACGTTCAAGGCCCCAGGTCGGTTTGTCAGACGGCATGCCAGGACGCTCAGGGGGAGGCAAATCGCGCAGGAGGAGGAGGAGGAGGAGGAGGAGGAGGAGGAGGAGGAGGAGGAGGAGGAGGAGGAGGAGGAGGAGGAGGAGCAATGCAGGGGACCGCTCCCTGGAGCGGACTCTCGGGCGGCCCTCGATTGTCCGGGGGGCGCCAGGAGGTATCCGGGAAGCCTCGGGAAGCCCTCAGGAGGCCCCGGGAGGCGCCACTAGGTCCCAGCACGCTCCCAGGAGGCCGAAGGAGGCCCCAGGAGCTCCAGGAGCCCAGGAGGCCCGAGAAGGTCACAAGAAACTCCGGGAAGCTGCAGGAGGCCCCAGGAGGCCCCAGGAGGCCCCAGGAGGCCCCAGGAGGCACCCGGAGGCACCCGGGAGGTTCAGGAGACCCCAGGACGTCAGATGATGGTCCATCGCGCGCGAGGAATGGAGGGGGAGGGGGAGCAGGAGGAGGAGCCAGTGTAAACGTGGCACTCCCACGCCCAGAAGACCATCCAGCGCGCTGCAGTCAGCAACCCAGCGCAGCTAGGGACGCCCGCTGGATCTGACTCCGTCGGGGTATTTCTTGCGCGCGACAGTTGGTTCAAGTGCCATCTGTTCAGGAGGGGAAGAAACACACAGACACAATTAATCGTCGATTCCCAGGAAAATATGGGAAAATATGGGAAGTGGGTTGGAAGACGAAAACCCAGAAAATATGTGAAAATATGGGGCACAATTTTATTTCTGTTTGTTTATTTGTGTGTCCTGGGGCCCCTTCATGTTTTCTCGTGAAACAGCTCCCGCCAGATTTTCACGGCGGCGGAGCCCGCGGCTCGCCCCCGCGGGCTTCGGCGCGGACGTGGCGGCTCGGGCGCGGGCGTGGCCGCGGCGACGGCCGCAGCTTCCCGCGGCGAGTCCCCGGCGCCAGCGACCCGGTTTGTGACGCATCGGGAGCCTCGAGACGGGGGTCAGTGCAGACGGGGGTCAGCCAGGGCGCCGTTTCCTGCAGGATCCTGCGAAGACCCCCTCTGGCTGACCCGGGTTTGGGAGCCGCTCGTGGCCGCGAGGCGGCCGCACGTATTGGCTGACCCGGGTTTGCGAGGACCTGCGTTGCAGTTTTTTTTTCCTGCGTTGCAGTTTTTGGTTTCCTGCTGACCCGGGTCTGGATTGACCCGGGTCAGAAGATCCCCGATGTGATGCATCGTTGCCTAAGGTGCGGGAAGTGTTGTACAACCTGGGCACGAGCCGGTTCGCGGGACTACAGTCGGGGCCCTGTTGGGGAGGGGCTCCGCGCTCCTAAAGTGTTTCGCAGCTTGCCTCAGGTGTTCCGCAGGTTTTCGATATGACATCGAAGTTTTTAACTTATGGAAAATAGGGGCCTCGTTCCTTGTTTTGGGTTCCTTAGGTCAAGGCCCCGACTGTATGCAAAGCGGTTTGCGACAGTGGCTTGTTCAGGTATGTTAACATAGCGTTCAAGGCCGACCACTAGGGCACGACATCAGTTCTTGATCGCACCGCCACAGGGCACCAGGACAGCGAGCGATGATGAAACATTCGCAGTGTTGCAGATGAGCTAGAACATGGGCCCCGCTCTGATCACAATTATTAGTTGGAACAGGTATCGCGAGGAACACCTTAACAGCCCGACAGGACACGTGAGGATATACTTGCACAGCCATGCGAACAATGTCGAACATGTTTCGAAGATCGCTGAGGCCATCCAAGCCGCAGCAGGTGCCAGGGCAGGAGGAGGCGGAACGAATCCCGTGAGTGAGAACGCAGCCGGCCAACAACTCAAACGTTTTCAGGCGACAGAGCCAGGTTCAGGGAATGGACGCATAATTTGTTCAACGCACTTGCCCAGACGAAGCGTGGCTACCCGATAGCAGAGCAACACGAACAACATAATTTCTCCGACGGACCCCGCATGAAAATTTGTTTAATTTGCCTGGGGATTCCCTCCTGCCCCCTCCCTTCTCCCACCTACTCCCGCCTCCTCCTCCTCCTCCTCCTCCTCCTCCTCCTGCCTGCTCCCTGTCCTGCCTCAACCCGTGCCTCCTCCTCCTCCTCTTGCCTCCTCCTCCTCCTCCTCCTCCTCCTCCTCCTCTTGCCTCCTCTTGCCTCCTCCACCACCTCCTCCTTCTCCTCGTTGTCCTCCTCCTTTTCCCTCTCCCTCCTCCTCTTCCTCCTCCTCCTCCTCCTCCTCCTCCTCCTCCTCCTCCCCTTGCCCTCCGTCTCCCTCCTCCGCCTCCCCCCCGTCTCCATTTTCTTCCCCCTCTCCCTCCGCCTCCCCTCCTCCTTTTTCTCCTCCTCCTCCCGCCCCCTTCTTAGGCCTCCTGCCTCCTCCTGAGGCCTCCTGGGGCCTCTTGGGGCTTCCTGGAGCCTCCCGGGACCTCTTGGGGCCTCCTAGGGCATTCTTCTTCTTCCTCCTCCTCCTTCTCCTCCCCCTTCTCCTCCGACTGGAGCCTTCGTACAGGCCCGGACGGTTTCAGCGCTTTTGTTTATAACCAACGTTTGAATTTATAACATAAATCGAACACATCAATTGCGAATCCAACAACACATACTATGATACCCATTAGTATGACACTAATGCTTAATAATGAATTCATGCACGATATTGTTGGGAACGTTCTTTTTCAAAGCATGATGTGGACAAATTACTGCTTGAAGTCTTCTGTGGGTGATTGATTTTCAAATCATATGTAAAGAGCGTATCTCTCGATTACACTGTGCAGGATTTCCCGCCCGATGTCTCAAGTGAACCATAATTCAGAGAAATCCTGTTCGGGGGGCGTCCGGGGAGTCCCAGGCTCGGAGAAGCAACACTCCAGATGGTTTTCCAGAAACCAATGTTTCGCCTGGGACATCCTCCAAACTTTTTCCCTTTCTCAGCCTGGGAACACCGATCCCGTCTTGCGGCGCGACATGTTCAGTACAGCTTCGAAGAAAAGAGCAGGTTTGTAGCCATTCCCCCATGAGAAACTCAGAACAGATTACTGCCCTTTGCCGTTGCCGAGTCAATAGGGCATGCCCGACGAGGGGCGCGAGAACGGATTCAAGCTTGGGCTCAGAGACGTAAAGCGCGCACTGTCACGCCAGGGGCAAACGTTTGCATATGGTTACCCGCGGCAGACTGCGATCCGGCCACGCGTGGAAGGGTTTTGAAGTCAGTGTGCAGCACTGGGGGCGCCGCCAGCAAGCGGGGGGACTTGCCCGTGGACTCTGCACGGGGCGTCGGGTTGGACGACGGGAAGATGCCCCCCCGTGCGCGTTCAAGCCTAAGTCGAGGCGAATGTGGCCAACGGTTCATCAGGATGCTTTGGTTCAGTGGGCAGGATGTAGGTCTTGACTTCCTCGAAGTGTAAATCTGGCGCAAACTCAGATCGGGACCGAACAGTTCTACGTCGCAGTCGGACTGGCATGGAACCAGGACGGGTAAAGGCACGGGGCATATCAAAAACATGCTGAGCTGTTCGTCAAGGAATTGGGCACTGGACTTGGGACAGAGCCTAGTGACATGTGAAATGCCATGATAACGACTACCATGCCAACGAGAACATGAGCAGCCATTACCAAACCACGAAGCTAAGAGCGACCAGGCGTGAGGGGCCGGAACAAATCACCGAGCGCAGAACGGATCGTATGCACATATGTGTATATATATATGTATGCAGATGCAAATGTACATATTCAGTTCCCAGTGGAAAACTGACCAAGTCCAACTCGGCATCGATTTGACATGGGGCAGTCGTGCAACGTTAGGTGCGTGCCTCAAGAATCGCAACAGGTGCGGGTTGAATCAAGAACGTCACGGGCAATTAACTGCATGGACAGGCGCAGACCATCCAGGACGCAAGAGGACACTTTGTGTCGACAAGTGGAGGAACAGTTCTGCTGAGATAGCATTCCGTAAAGTCGTCGAGTTAGACCCAGGGTGAATTGGCATTAGATGATGGAGAAGCGGAGTATTGCAGAATGGTTGATGGTGCTTCAATAGAATTTGGTCTGCAAGCGGCCCCCAAGGACTTCGAAATTGATTGCGGCATCCCGTTAAATGGTGCCGCGTGCGCATGTCTTGTTATTGCGAGCAGGCGCGGGTAGGGAAACACCGGACACATTGAAGTCTGCCAGCCTTGGTTAGATGAGAAGGTGCGGTGAGGAAACATCAGAGACACCACAGTATTGTGTCATGAATTCGTTGCAGATGTTGTAATCATGTATGTAGAGAGTGGTGTCCACGCACATTTTAGGCACGAATCAACATCATGAAATTGGAAAGCATGAGCTAGCACCAGTTAGAGAGTGCTAGCTCAATGTTGCCTATATTCGGCTGAATTTCTTTAGCCGCGTTGCCAGTTAAATGAGTCCAGGATCAATTGAGATCCAGTTGGTCCTCCTTTGCGATTTCACACCTACACTACAGAAGATGTTAACAGTGTTGCGTGCTTTTGTGCATTGCGGCATTCACATCGCGTCTTAGGATGCCCCTGCACGTTTACGCCCAAATCATAGCTGTTTTTTGGCCGCGCCACTTATGCTTTTAAACTTCGTATATGCTTTTCACCTTACTCACGCCGTTTTTTTATATTAAGAGTAGCGTTCTGCCGTTGGTCTTCTAGTGTCGCTGCCTACGGAGCCTCTTACAGCCATGCGGCCGAAGGGGGGGCGTAAACAGGGGCACCCCCCAACGCGTGGATGAGTTGCCTGTGCCGCGCAGTCAGCATAGCAGTGCTTGGGACGGCCACCAGAGTTGATAATCCGTCGAAGGCTTTTCCCTGCTCGAGTGCCATCCGTGTTTTGCGAAAAAGATACTACTAAATTTAGCAGAAGAGTATGCGGAGGCAACGGGATAATCGCGAGGACGAACACGAGGACGAAAGGGAGGAGGTGAATGACGAGCAGGCAAATGAAGGGGAGGAGGAGTATGAGGAGGAGTTTGACGACGCTCCACAGAGCAAGTTGCATCCAATTGGTTTATCTCTGCGAGGGGGAGTCCAGGGTAACACTACAGCACCGGATACTGGAAGCTGGAAATGGCGAAGGCCTCAGGAAATTCCACCCGCGCAGCCTCGTGGCCCCACCAGGGGGCTGGCTGATTAGTATCTGTCAGTCTCGGTTCCTTCGAGACGGCGGCGCACCAGCTGGAGTATACCAATGAGATCACGATGTCGTTTGTGGACGTTGTTCTGCTCAGCGCTGTGGCGCGGCAAGCTGGTTTTGGTAAGCTGGGGGGTATGACTTTCTCTTTGCTGGCCACGGTGGTCGCACTGGTGGTAGCGATTGCCCAACTCGGAATCTACAACACTTGGGATGGAGACACTGGCGAAAGGTACACACCGTTTCGCGGTGGGCACGGCCAGGCAGGCATTACATCCGTCATGGTTAATATTATGATTGCGATTTTTTTAAATCCTCATAATTCGGATAGATTTTGTCATACTAGGACTAGATCGAATCGTATTGTGATAATGATGATGGTGATGATGATGATGAGGAAGATGAGTATTTTCATAGTTCTTACTATAGTCATCAATTTGGGTTTTCTCATTGAATAAACATGCTTTTTGTTATTCGTAGTATTGTTAATTGTTGTGTTCGTAGTATGATTGGTGGCTGTATTATTTTCACCATTACTTGATTAATAAACGATTATTCAACCATCTATCTGTATGGGTATCCTTATTGTTATTATGGCTGTATTTGTTCGTCTTATCATAATTGTCATTGTTCTTCTCATTAAACTGATTTCTCTGATGCCATCTTCAGCAATATTGGGCGTTCTGCCCGATTGCCCCCTCTTTTCACAAACAAAAATAACCCTAGGGCGGGGAGGGGGAGGCTACACCACCCCGAAGGGAAGCGGCGTTTGGGATGGGGAAGGGAGGCTGCGCCAGACCGCCTGTGCCCATAGGTCTCTTGGGTTTTCGGAGCGGCACCGGCACCGCGCCCATCCCCTCCCTCCTCGCTGACGCCGGCAATTCGGCGATGCACTGTTATCAGGAGGAGCAGGAGGGACGAGGGAGGGACGAGGGAGTAAGGGCAGAAGGAGGAGGGGGAAGGAGGGCGGAGGATGGAGGAGGGTGAAGGGAGGAGGGAGGAGAAAGGAGGGCGGAGGGAGGAGGAAAGGGGGCAGAGGGAGGAGGGAGGTAAGAGGGAGGAGGATGAGGATGACAAGGGGTTTGGAGGGCGGAGGAGAGGAGAAAGGAAAAGTAGGAGGGGGAGGAGGAGGAGGAGGAGGAGGAGGAGGAGGAGGAGGAGGAGAAGGAGGAGAATGAGGACGAGGGGGAGGGGGAGGAAGGAACATGAGGGAGGATGCGGGCGCAGGGATGGCTCAGTCCCAAACGGACTTGAATGCGGCAAGAGCGGACGGAGCCCTTGGATCGAGTGTATCGCTCACGCCGACAGGTCGGCGACGCTTTCTGACCAGTCAGGAGGAGGAGGCAGGGAGGAGGGGGGAGGGAGGAGGGAGGAAGGGAGGACGGAGGATGGAGGAAAGAGGGAGGAGGGAGGAGGGAGGAGGGCGGAGGGCGGAAGGAGGAGGGCCTGCTCCATAATTGCGGTTGCCAGGGGTCATTTGAGACTTTTTGTGGGCTTCTTGGGTGTTTGTTGGAGGTGCAATTTGACCAGACCCCGCCAAATAGTACACCAGACCACCCTATCAAGGCAAGTTAGACTGCCCACAAGTAGACCAGATCCCGTCCAACAGTAGACCAGGCCACCCATCCAACGTTCGACAGACCATGCCAAGGAACAGAGCAGACCGCTCATCGTGGCAAGCTAGACCGCCCAGCAGTAAACCAGGCCCCGCCCCAAAGTCATTCCGACCATCCGTTAAGGCAAGCCAGACCACCCACAGGTAGACCAGACCCAGCCCAATAGTAGACCACATAACCCATCTGAGCAAGCCACGCCACCGAGGTGTAGGCCGAAATTACTCCAGCGCAGCTCAATGCGAGCCAGACCACCCGGCAATAGAGTGTCACACAACATAAGCCGGAACACATCGATTACACCACGTAGCACGGAGCCACATAGGCCCCACATAGGTCGGAACGCATCGTTTGCACCACATGTTTTGCATTCCATAGCTCCATACATCCTGCCACCTGCATGGCACCACACAGCTAACACTACATAGATCACAACATATTGAAGAGTACGTCAGCTCCTGCCACATATGTTGCACCACATAGCTTCCAGCACGCAGGCCCCACAACGGAGATTCCACGTAGCATGCACCACATAGTTTCCACCACATTGATTGCACTACATAGCGCGCGCCAGATATATTGCATGACCTTGTAGCGTAGAGAGCTTGCGGTTCACATTGTGCGCTAGGTACCCACGTCGCCTTCGTACAGGGATGCGCCGATGCTCCCCGTCCTGCAGTTCCTGCTTTTCTCCCTCATCACCTCGGCTCGCTCTGAGGCACGTCTTGGAGACATCTTGTTTTTATCGCTTGCATGGGGTACACCACAGCGCTTCACATGGATTGCACCACATCGTTCAGGCCGCATGGACTGCACCACAGACATTCCACCACCAATATTCTTTCACCACGTAGACTGCTAGATATAGAGGGACCACAAAAACTGCACCATGTATACTGCACCACATACCTAACACCATATACTTTGTACCGCATTGATTGCGCAACATCGATTGCACCACATGAATTGCACACAGGTTGCACCACAGAGGTTTTGCCCCACCTGATCGCACCATATAGATTCCGCCGATTTGATTATCCTGCCTAAATGAGAATCGATTATACCCACCCGGATAATCCGTACCCTGTTTTGTATTGTAATTTACTTATCATTTTGCCCCATCGCCCGTCCTAAATATGAGTCCATACCATTCAAGCCGAGCCGGTATCGACCTCCCCCCGCCATTTTCTGCAACAGATGCTATGCGCGCGCACTCGTTTATGACAAATCATCAGTTTTCAAGAATCTTCGAACACATGAGATGCAGTGCGCACGCGCGCGTCGTCTTGCGCGCATGCCGAAATCGTTGAATTAGCCTGGCGAAGGACCCAACCATATGCAACTGTGAATACCGCAAGTGTGAATATCGTTTTCGGCGGCGCTACCTCTGGGTAGTGGAGACGCATGCGAACACCCCCACTGGGGCCTTCGGTGGAGCTCCCTATGGGGCTACGAAACGCTGCCCTGGGTGGGGGAACCGCATGCGGACACCCCCACTGGGGCCTTCGGTGGAGCTCCCTATGGGGCCACGAAACGCTGCCCTGGGTGGGGGAACCGCATGCGAACACCCCCACTGGGGCCTTCGGTGGAGCTCCCTATGGGGCTACGAAACGCTGCCCTGGTTGGGGGAACCGCATGCGAACACCCCCACTGGGGCCTTCGGTGGAGCTCCCTATGGGGCCACGAAACGCTGCCCTGGGCGGGGGAATCGCTTGTGGACACCCCCATGGGGCCTTCGTGGGGTCCCTCTGGGGTACGAAGCGCTGCTGTGGGGGACACCGGCATGCGTAACACCCCCGTGGGGCCTTCGGTGGAGCTCCCTATGGGGCTACGAAACGCTGCCATGGGTGGGGGAACCGCATGTGGACACCCCCACTGGGGCCTTCGGTGGAGCTCCCTATGGGGCTACGAAACGCTGCCCTGGGTGGGGGAACCGCATGTGGACACCCCCACTGGGGCCTTCGGTGGAGCTCCCTATGGGGCCACGAAACGCTGCCCTGGGTGGGGGAACCGCATGTGGACACCCCCACTGGGGCCTTCGGTGGAGCTCCCTATGGGGCTACGAAACGCTGCCCTGGGTGGGGGAACCGCATGCGAACACCCCCACTGGGGCCTTCGGTGGAGCTCCCTATGGGGCCACGAAACGCTGCCCTGGGTGGGGGAACCGCATGCGAACACCCCCACTGGGGCCTTCGGTGGAGCTCCCTATGGGGCTACGAAACGCTGCCCTGGGTGGGGGAACCGCATGCGAACACCCCCACTGGGGCCTTCGGTGGAGCTCCCTATGGGGCCACGAAACGCTGCCCTGGGTGGGGGAACCGCATGCGAACACCCCCACTGGGGCCTTCGGTGGAGCTCCCTATGGGGCCACGAAACGCTGCCCTGGGTGGGGGGACCGCATGCGAACACCCCCACTGGGGCCTTCGGTGGAGCTCCCTATGGGGCTACGAAACGCTGCCCTGGGTGGGGGAACCGCATGCGAACACCCCCACTGGGGCCTTCGGTGGAGCTCCCTATGGGGCCACGAAACGCTGCCCTGGGTGGGGGAACCGCATGCGAACACCCCCACTGGGGCCTTCGGTGGAGCTCCCTATGGGGCCACGAAACGCTGCCCTGGGTGGCATGTGGACACCGCATGTGCCACGAAACACCCCCACTGGGGCCTTCGGTGGAGCTCCCTATGGGGCACGAAACGCTGCCCTGGGTGGGGGAACCGCATGTGGACACCCCCACTGGGGCCTTCGGTGGAGCTCCCTATGGGGCCACGAAACGCTGCCCTGGGTGGGGGAACCGCATGTGGACACCCCCACTGGGGCCTTCGGTGGAGCTCCCTCTGGGGCCACGAAACGCTGCCCTGGGTGGGGGAACCGCATGTGGACACCCCCACTGGGGCCTTCGGTGGAGCTCCCTCTGGGGCTACGAAACGCTGCCCTGGGTGGGGGAACCGCATGTGGACACCCCCACTGGGGCCTTCGGTGGAGTTCCCTATGGGGCTACGAAGCGCGTGAGAGGTGTGCCGAGAGCAGAGGCAAGGAGGGGGAGGAGGGAGGAGGGCGAGGAGGAGGAGAAACGCGGGGCACCGTCTCTTCAAAACGAGGACCCAACACCACAGGATGGTTGGGAAAAAATATCCTGGCGAAGGACCCAGCAATACGCAAGTGTGAGAACCGCAGGGCAGGTGGGACGAAGCAACGGGAATTCTCAATGTGGCCACGAACCGTGTGAGGGGTTGTGCACCAACATGGGGCAGGGCCGCCATGCGAACGCTGCCACTGGGGCCTTCGGTGGAGCCCCCTTATGGAGGCCACGAACGGGGCCGCCATGCGAACCCTGTCACTGGGGCCTTCGGTGGAGCTACCTATGGGGCCACGGACCGTGTCAGGGATGCGCCAAAGTGGGGCGGGGCCACCATGCGAACCTTGCCACTGGGGCTTTGGTGGAGCTCCCTGTGGGGCCACGAACCGTGTGAGGGGTGCGCCAAAATGGAGCGGGGCCGCCATGCGAACCCTGCCCCTGGGGCCTTCGGTGGAGCTCCCTACGGGGTCAGGAACCGTGTGAGGGGTGCGCCAAAATTGGGCGGGGCCGCCATGCGAACCATGCCATTGGGGCCTTCGGTGGAGCTCCCTGTGGGGCCACGAACCGTGTGAGGGGTGCGCCAAAATGGGGCGAGACCGCCATGCGAACCTTGCCATTGGGGCCTTCGGTGGAGCTCCCTACGGGGCCACGAACCGTGTGAGGGGTGCGCCAAAGTGGGGCGGCGCCGCCATGCGAACCTTGCCACAGGGGCCTTCGGTGGAGCTCCCTACGTGGCCACGAGCCGTGTGAGGGGTGCGCCAAAAATGGGGCGGCGCCGCCATGCGAACCCTGTCACTGGGGCCTTCGGTGGAGCTCCCTGTGGGGCCACGAACCGTGTGAGGGATGCGCAAAACTGCGGGGCCGCCATGCGAACCTTGCCACTGGGGGCTTCGGTGGAGCTCCTTGTGGGGCCATGAACCGTGTGAGGGGTGCGCCAAAATGCGGGGCCGCCATGCGAACCTTGCCACGGGGGCTTTCGGTGGAGCTCCCCATGGGGCCACGAACCATGTATGGTGTGTGGGTGAACCGCAGGGGGGAAGGGGGGGGGAAGGGGGAGGGGGGAGGAGGGCGGAGGAAGGAAGCACGGATGAACGCGGGGACCGTCCCTTCAACACGATGACCCAACACCACAGTATGGTTAGGAATGTAGGTTCCATAGGGGCTTCACCATCGAGTGTCCAACAACCATATAATACACATAGTTTCGCAACACGGGTTGCCACAAAAAGCTTGCGCGCGCATTCTTGCGGAATCGTGAGAAAACCATAGGGTTTTCATCAGTTTCGCAACATGCGGTCAAACGGTCTTCGCGCGCGCGCGCGTGTCGAGATGGTTCGAACGCCCCTGCGCGCGTGCCGTCGCGAGAATCAGTGGCAACCAAACGGGACGAAGTGCATGCGCGCGCGTCGCCGTGTGCGCGTGCCGAATTCTTTAAACAAAAAAACACCTGAGGTTTCGCAATAGTTTCAATTTCAATACCGCACGCCCGTTGCTATACGTTGCTATACGACCACCCTTCGGGTGATAAGGAGGTTGTGTGGGGGGGCAGGGAGGGAACCGACATCTGACTCAATCGATCTCACTATCGATCTCACTCCACGGGACACCACGGGATACCATGGGACATTTGTCGATCTCATTATCGATCTCACTATCGATCTCACTCAACGGGACACCACGGGACACCAGGGGTCACCAGGGGACACCACGGGACACCACGGGACACTTCTCGATCTCATTATCGGTCTCATTATCGATCTTTATCGATCTCACTCCACGGGACACCGCGGGTCACCACGGGACACCACGGGACGCCTCGGGACACCACATCGATCTCACTATCGATCTCACTATCGATCTCACTATCGATCTCACGCAACGGGGCACCACGGGACACCACGGGACATTTGTCGGCCTCACGATCGATGTCATTATCGATCTCATTCAACGGGACACCACGGGACACCACGGGACATTTGTCGATCTCATTCTGGATCTCATTTTCGATCTCTCTTTTTGGGGCACCACGGCACACGACGGGACACCACGGGACACCACGGGCCACCACGGGACACTTCGGGACACCACATCGATCTCAGTATCGGTCTCACTATCGATCTGTTTATCGATCTCACTCAACGGGATACCACGGGACACCACGGGTCACCACGGGACACCACGGGACATCTCGGGATACCACATCGATCTCAGTATCGACATTTTTGTTGATCGATCTATCGATCTCGCTCAACGGGACACCACGGGACACCACGGGACACCGCGGGACACCGCGGGACACCGCGAGCCACCGCCAGACGGACGGACGGACGGGCGGGCGGGGGAGAGTCATGTGTCTCGATTGCGCCCTAGCAGCGGCGGACACCACGGGACACCACGGGACACCGCGGGACACCGCGAGCCATTGCCAGACACACGGACGGACGGACGGGAGCGAAACATTTGTCTTGACTTCGCCCTAGGAACGGCGGACACCAAGGGACACCGCGGGACACCGCTAGGACCGCCGCCAGACGGACGGACGGACGGACGGACGGAGAAACATTTGTCTTGACTTCGCCCTAGCAGCTGTGGACACCACGGGACACCACGGGACACCGTTAGGGCCACCGCTAGGGCCACCGCGGGACGGTCAGACGGACGGACGGACGGACGGAGGAAAAACAGTTGTTTTGATTTCGCCCTAGCAACGGCGGGTTCATTCTTTACTCGCGCCCACGCAGCTTCGCCTCGCACGCGCGCACGACACGAACGAAACGAAACCATTTCACGGTTGGGGGTCTCCGTTCCATTGCGATCTCACCCCCCAACCTCCGATGATTTCGCAACATCAGTTTTCAAACAAAGCTCGCTCTCTTGCGAAATCTACGAAAACCACCGTTTAGTCTAACATGCCATTGAATTCTTGACGCTGCGCGTATCCCCACCAGCCTGCACCCTGGCAGTACTATTATTCAGCCTACCGCCAGCCCTTTCCACTCGCCGGCCCGCCGCTGAGGTGCTGCGTGAGGCTCCGGCCCACTGCTTTAGGTTAATTCGTCTTTGCGCGCCCCGCTCTGACTGGACTCGCCGCTGGCGCGCTCGCCTGCGGCCGCTGACTAAAAAAGTATCCCCACCAGCCCATCCAGAATCGATGCCCGTGAGAGTTGACGGGGGGAGAGAGGAAGAGACACGCATAGTCACACAGCGAGGGAGGCTTGAAAGGGTCTGTGGCCATCTCGAGCCGTCTTAGGGCGGTCTTTGGGCCGGTTGGAGCATCTTGGGAGCCATCTTGAGCCAGCCTGGGTTATCTGAGCCATTTTGGAGGTCACCTTGTGCTCTCTGAGGCCGCCCGGGTGCCTCTTGGGGACTTATCGGGTGCCTCTTGGAGGCCTCTTGGGGTTTCTTGGGGCGCTCTGTGCGTCCTCTTGGGAGCCTTTTGGGGGCGCTGGAGGGCCTCTTGGGGCCATCTTGGAGGCGGTCGGTCAAAAGAGGGGTGATCCTCGATTTCCTTCCACCCCTCGGGGGCCACGATCCTCGTGAGGGGTGTCAGAAATTGGCCCTCTCAGGGACCGATAAACGACCCTCTGACACCTCGCGACCCGTCCAAAAAATAACCTCAGGGAGGGGAGGGGGAAGGTTCCCCTCCCCGTAGGGAAAAGAGGGGTTGTGGAGGAGGAAGGAGGCCCTCCTTAAACCACCTGTCGCCCAAAGGGTTGGTGGGAATTTGCCAATCGGGCCTTTCGCACCGCATGCCGAACTCATTCGAACGCCCCTGCGCGCGTGCTGGGGGGGGACGGCGCGATCCGGGTCAAATAATTTGATGCGGGCCATTCGCGCGTCGGCCGCGCGCGCATGTCAATCTTCTTCCGAAGCTTCCATCGGTCGCGAGGACTCCGTCATCGTCGTCGGCGCGATCAGCATCGGAGCCGTCGTTGGCCGTGCCGTCGTCGCTGTCAACATCGTCACCCGCACCGCTTCGACCATCATCGTCTCTACCATTGTCGACGCTGTCGTGATACCGCGGCCGCCCAAATGGTCGACTCGCACTGAAATGCCCGGTGGGATACGCCAAGCGGTCAGCGCACCGCGGCCGCGTCGGTCTCGCCAAACCAGGTGGCCGTTGCGCGCGCGCATGCGCGGGCTGTCGCGGCCGCAATGCACCAGCCAACGCCAAGCACTCATCGCAATCGCCGCCGCTTGGGTTTTGCAAACCAAGTTGCGGGTGGGCGGGTGGGATGTTTGCAACAGCGTCGGATGTGTCAACTCGCTTGTGAAAACCAAGTGCACCACACAGACTGCACCACATAGCCAACGCCACATAGCTCACACCACACGTATTGCACCGCGTATACTGTACCACCTACCTTCCAGATCCCCGTAGTTGCACGGCAGGGCCGCCGCGAGAGTAGACCCGATCCCGCCCGCAAGAACAGCAAACCATCCGTGACAGCAGGTTTAAACAGCCGAATGTAGACCAGACCCCGCCCACAATTAAACCATGACATCTGCCACAGCCAGCGAGACCATCCAAAACAAGACCAGACCCCGCCTAGAAGTAAACCGTACCGCCCACCACAGCAAGCTGGGCCACCCGAAGGTAGACCTGACGTCGCCCAAGGGCAAACCAACCAATCACAGCAGGCAAGAACACCCAAACCTAGAGGAGACCCCGCCCACAAGTAAGCCAGACCACCTGGCAAGACTGACGAGACCGCCCATTTGTACACCAGACGCCGCCCTGAAATCAACCGGAGCATCCACCGCAGCAATCTAGGCCCCCCGAAAGCTGACTTGATCTCGCCCCACTCAAAAGTAAACGAGACCACCCATCGTTGCAGGCCAGACTGGCCAAGAGAAGACCAGACCCCGCCCGACAGTAGACCAGACCAACCAGTAACGCGCGCCAGGCCATCCAAAAGTAGACCAGGCCCCGCCCACGAGTAAACCAAACCACCCATCGTAGCAAGCTGGGCCGCCCGAGAAGACGTAAGTGCAAACACTGTCTGGGGAATGCTGAATATTGTGATTGACGTTGCCTCCATTTTTCCCCTTCGCTTCTAGACGTGGGCTTCCCCCATCGCGGGGAACATGCCCTGAACGCGTAAGAATTCTGGACGGAGCGGGGTTTGTTGGTGGCCTCTAGGAGGCTTCTGGAGTGCGTGACCAGCGCAGGACACACCGAGCCGTCTTGTAGCCTGTGAGGAGGCCTCGTTGGAACACATTTTGGCATTTTCGCGTCGTTTGATGCCTTCAGGGGCGATTTGGAACAACTCTGACGGTTTTGACCCAGCTCCCGGGCCTTTCGAACACTCTTCGCGCCCGACCCCCCTTTTCCAAACCGGCGCGGTTGGATGCCCAAAGGGAAGGTTTTGGGAGAGGTGATGGGGAAAGACGCCACATAAGCCCAGATGGGTCGGCGAATTGGCACACGTCTTCGAGTTCTTCTTCGCGATATTGAGTGCGCTTGTTTCCTTCTCTTTCTGCATGGACAATAAGTTCATGTGCGACGGGAAGCTGCGGCAGCTCGTGTCCACTCAACAGGGGGCCTCTCTGTTCGTGGGCCAGCCGTGTTTGCGAAGAGCAGCCGCTTAGTGAGACACCTAGATTCTGCTTGCTGGGTGCACGACGGCTCGTGCTATAACCGCACAGACAGGGTCGGATACCCGATGGCTGCCAGGTTCGCGTGAGGCTTCAAGGGACGCAACGACGCAACGACTCCACAGGCAGAGAGGGGGGAGGCGGAGGTGACCTAGCCAGGCCCGCCTTGGACCCAGGACGGACTTGCTGCGAATATTAGATTTGAGGGTGCGAGCAACAGAAATATGTCCAAGCTTTGAGGAGGGTGTGTAGGGTATCTTTCGCTTCGGGCAGCATGCCAGCAAGCGGTTTGCCCGTATTCGTCGTATCATTTGCAAGTTTCTTCTCTCGTTTTCTTCATATCCCTTGCGAAGAGGGAGGAGGGAGGAGGGGACGGAGTCGAGGATGATGAGGAAGGTGATGAGCAGGACACTACAACGAGGACAAGGATGGATACTGAAAGAATGAGGGTGTATAAGATTCGAGGGTGGATGACACGGTGGGCGGTTGTTGTCGCGATCGTTTTGTGCACCATGGTTCTGTCTATCTTCCCCGAAAGGCTCGGTAGAACCGTCTTGGGGCAGATTGGGAAGTGTTCCACGCTATTGCAGCAGGAGGTGGTTGTAACGTTACATGGTTGTTGCGATGACTCTCGGAAGTTTTATATAGCCTAACGGGCTGCTGGGAGGGTTCTTTGGGGCTGCTTTGGAGCCTCTCGGTGACCTCTTAGAACCCTTTTCAGGGCCTCCTGTTATCTTCTGGAGGGCGTATTTGGACCGCTCTGGAGGGCCTCTTGGGTCCTTCTTGGGAATCTTGGGGGCCGTCCTGAGGTTCATTTGGGTTGTGTTTGGCTGTCAAGACCGAAAAAACGACAATGCGCAAATCATATCAACAACATTGTGCTCCATGACTAGCGGCTCTTGGGACGGTCCCGCTGGCCGCCAGGACGATCTCGCTTCGGGGACCTCGGGAAAGATCACGCGGCGAAGTCCAGGAACGCCCAGGAGCGTACGGAATCCCGAAATGTGCAGGTGTCTGGGGCTCCGGAGCCCCGCACGCGCATGACGCAGCAGTTTCCGTGACGCCGCCCCTCATTTGGAACACCATAGCTACGTATTGCGGGTCGTGACGTGCACGCGCGTGTCGATGACCCCAAGTTCGCAGGCGTAGAGGTTGACACCAACACCAATTTCGGCGGTGTGCCTCCACCGGGGGAAGAAGATCCCGATCTCGGTGATGGTGGTAATATTCTGGCTTCCAAGGTGGCCGAAATATTACCACCAACACCGAAATCTAGGATCATCTCCCCCTTGTGGAGGCACCCCCCTGTGTTGGTGTTTGGTGCCCATTTCCAGGCCTCCAACAAGTTTTGCTGTGACCAGAGTGTCTTATCTGAGTGTGTTCCAGTCGGGGCATTGCTCTGTTTCCCCAATCGGTGCTTGCACGAAGGGGTTCTTTACTGATGTCACCTCTTCCCGAGTCGGCCCCCCGAACGACGTGGTCCACCTGGCGGTCCGCCGGCGTCGGGCGGCATCCTCCAGACGTGCCCCGGCTGCTCCCGCTGCAGAGGTCCTCACGGTTTCCTGCCTCGTGGGCGATCGGCTGTCGAGCAGTTCGGGGTTTTCGCTTGGTCCCCCCTCCCCCTCGCCGCCTCGTCGCCGCCCCGCGCGTTGGCCACATGTTGTTGCTTCTCCACATAGCTTATCTCCTCACAGCTTGCACCAAACCGCATAGCTTGCACGACATAAGTTGCACCACGTGGATATCACCACATCGCTTGTACTGCATACAATTGCTTCCGTCAAAAGACGGGTCTGCTCTACGAATTTGTTGAGCCCAGACTTAGCACTTCCCTTTTCTGTATTGCAAATGACGTATGGTTCTGCCTCATCGTGCGTTCTCCATTTGAAACTACACCTTACCAGGCGAAGCGGTGTCGACACCCCCTCACCCCTGTCAAACATCATTATGTGTGCGCATTCGATTACATCAACAATCAGTTTTTTTTTTCGTGCCCGACCAGTTCTTGCACTTAGGTTCTCCTAGTTATTTTCTAAGGAACTGGGCCTGGGTGGCGGTCTGGCCGCTCCGTGCTCGCCATCGCCGCCCCGTCGCCGCCTCATTGCCGCCCGTCGTCTGGGCCTGAGTGGCGGTCTGGCGGTTCCGTGCTCGCCGTCGCCATCTCGTGGTCGCCGTCGCCACTCCACCACCGCCTCGCATAGGCTCTCCTGTATAAAGAAGACTTAGGACCCACCATCCTCTCGAGCCCGGACTTACCACTACACCTGGGGATGTGCAGTTTACAGTTGGTTCTACCCCATTGTCCATCCGAAATACGTAGCACCCCGCAATTGCGGATAAGAGTGAGGGGGCGGGCGCGGGCGACGCGGGCGTCGTCGAGCCGGCGGTCCTCGTGGCCCCCAGCTTCCTTTTCGAAGGCGCTCTCCTCCTCCTCCTCCTCCTCTTCCTCGTCCCCGTCCTCATCGTCATCATCATCCTCCCCCACCTCGTCCTCCTCCTCTTCCTCTTCCTCTTCTTCCTCGTCCTCCCTCTCCCCCCCTCGTCCTTTTCATCATCGTCCTCCCATTGTCGTCCTCCCCCTCATCGGCCTCCATCATCGTCCTCCCATTGTCGTCCATTATCATCATCCTCCCCCTCCTCCTCGTCCTCCTCCCCCTCCTCCCCCTCCTCGTCCTCCTGCTCCTCCTCCTTCTCCTTCTCCACATTCTCCTTACATCCTCTCTTCTTCCGCGTCCTCCTCGTCCCCTGTTTACTCCTCCTGCCTCCCCCTCCTTTCCCAAGGTAGCTGCAACGCAATTTTTTTCCCACTGTATCCCCGACTTCTCTGATCAAGGTGACTCGCCAGGGCAAAGTTGCTGGACGGGCTGGTTTGAATGCGCGGGGCTTGAAGAGGTCCTTGCGGGCTCAGACGGCATGCAAAAATCCGCCGCCGCGCTTGTGCGGCATTGGTTTGTTCAGTGAGTGTGGTTTGGGTCGCGGGTGGGTCGCGGGTTCTCCACCCCCACCTGGAAGGAATGCAAAAGCAGCCCGCCGCAGGCGCCAACAAACATTGGCTTGTACACAAAACGTGGTTCGGGTCGCGGGTGGGCCGCGGGTTCCCCACTGGGAACGAATGCAAAAAATGCCCGCCGCAGGCGCCGAAAAGTGTGGTTTGTACCCTGAACGTGGTCGCGGGTGAGTCGCGGGCTCTCCACCTGAAGCGAATGCAAAAGATGCCCGCCGCAGGCGCCGAAAAATGCGGTTTGTACCCTGAACGTGGTTTGGGTCGCGGGTTGGTCGCGAGTTGGTCACGGGATGGGTCGCGGGCTCTCTGCCTGGAAGGAATGCCAACAAAAACCCGCCGCAGGCGCCGAAAATGGTGGTTTGTACCTTGAACGTGGTTTGGGTCGAAGGTGGGTCGCGGGGTGGGTCGCGGGGTGGGTCGCGGGTGGGTCGCGGGGTGGGTCGCGGGGTGGGTCGCGGGGTGGGTCGCGGGTTGAGTCGCGGGTGGGTCGCGGGGCGGGTTGCGGGTGGGACGACGACAACGAACAACAACAACAACAACAACAACAACAACAACAACACCAACACCAACAACAACAACAACAACACCAACAACAACAACAACAACAACAACAACAATTACTAGCACGTGGGGACACTCCGTTCTCACCAGTGCCAGGGTTTTCATAGGAGGCGGGCAATACCCCCACTTTGTGGGGGGGCCGGTTCAAGCTCTACCAAATTTCCAAACGACTCTTCGCCACCACCCACACCCAGCTTCCCGCCCTATGACGTTCGGACACTTCACTTCGTGGCATGCGGACGACCGTGGCTACTATTCAGGGCCCCGCGGCCGACGACGACGGCGTGCGCGCGCGAAGAAAAAACGAATGTGTCCCGCATGGTATTATTTGACAGGGATGATGGCCCTGGCAGGTGCGCAACCGTTGTCGCAGAAGTTCGAAAAAGTTGCTCGCAAAAGCCCGTTTGACAGAAATGTTTAAAAAGTGTTGGGTTTCCTACGAATCCGCAAGAGCGCGCGGGATGAGATTTTGACAATTTTTTGTTGAAAAACCATTGGTTTTTTGATGTTTTTATGTTAAAATCGCTGCGAACACTAAGGTTTTGGAAGGATTTCGTCTTGCGCGCGCGAATGTCCACTTTACCTTATTTTTTGCAAGGGATTCTTGAAATTTGATTATATTAGAACAAGAAATGTCATTTTCTATTGTTTTTTGCAAGGGAAAGCGGATTACAACAAAACAACCGGATCCTGTACACACCCTCTTTTCTGAGGCTTCCTCACGAAAATGATGAAAATGTAGCTGCGGCCTAGGCGGCGCAGGGGGGGCGCGCACCAGGGGGCCCAACAATAATTATTCTTTAGAATAAATAATGTTCAACAGCAGCAACAACAACAACAACAACATCAACAACACCAGCAACAACAACAACCATTTTAAGGCTGTACGCTCTTACTTGCCCGCGAGTAATTCAACACGTATACCCTACACCCTCGATACCCGCCCTCTTCGTCTTCGATCACACCCCTTTCGGGGGGATTATTGCTCTTTGCTGGGGCCGGCGGGCTTAGACGTACGGGCAAACCGGAACGGGCGGACAATCCTTCGGGGGCGTACATCTCTCTGCCCGCCATTGGAAGTGGCGCGGGCCCTGCAAGAGGAGGAGGGGAAGAACGAGGGAGAGTGGGAGGAAGGGGAGGGGGAAGACGAAGGAAGAGGGAAGATACCACGTTGTGAAGGCGTCCTTGGCGCGTGCGTGGTTCCTGAGCGCCGAAACGCAATTCCAGAATAATTTGTGAGGACGTCGCACGCGAGAGCGCAGTCCTGAGTACATTGTAAGGAAATCTCAGGCGGAAGCGGGGGCCCTGACTAAGTTGCGAGGAAGTCTCAAGCGGGAGCGCCGTTCCTGAGCAAATTGCACGGAAGTCTCAGGCGGGAGCGGGGGTCCTCACTAAATTGCGAGGAAGTCTCAGGCGGGAGCGCCGTTCCTGAGTCAATTGCGCGGAAATGTCAGGCAGGAACGGGGGTCCTGAGTAAAATTCGAAGAAGTCTCAGGCGGGAGCGCCGTTCCCACGTAAATTGCACGGAAGTCTCAGGCGGGAGCGGGGGTCTTGATTACATTGCGAGGAAGTCTCAGACGGGAGCGCCTTTCCTGAGTAAATTGCGCGGAAGTCTCAGGCGGGAGCGGGGGTCCTGAGTAAAAATCGAGGAAGTCTCAGGCGGGAACCGTTGTTGTTGTAGCCCGGGGGGCAGGGGCACAGTTTGAGCAGGAAGACTTTCCTTGAGAAAAAACAAGGTGCGAGCCCCGGGGGTGGCACTTCAATCGAAAAAATCAATGTGCACCGGTTGGGGGGGATCAGCAATAATTATTCTTCAAGAATGAGAGTTCAACAACAACAACAACAACAAACAACAACAACGAGAATCCGCATCGCGGAATTCCACTTCAGCCACGCACCCAGGGACAGTGAATGACCGTTCGGCCCCCTCACTCTGATTAATTCATACCAACCCACGCAGGCTGGAGTTTGGTCCTCCCCCCCTTCCTCCTCTGGAATGCGCACGCATTCGTTTATCAAACGTTTTCAGTTCGCAGCAACAAATGGCACGAAGTGCGCACGCTCGCGTCGTCGCGCGCGCATGCCGGAATCCTTCAACAACTCTTACGTTTCGTACGAGGTTCAACATTGAGCGTCCCGAGAACATGGAAAAAACATGGTTTCGCAACAAGGGTTTAACAGAACAGCCTGCGCCAGCGCTCGTGCGAACTCTTACGTAAACGATCGTTTTCGACATCTTCATAAACATGCTACGAAATGGTTTTCCAACGCGCGCGTGTCAAATTCGTTCGAACGCCCTTGCGCGAATGCTGTCGCAAGTATCCTTTGCAACATATAGGACGAAGTGCACACGCGCGCGTCGTCGCGCGCGCGCGTGCCGGAATCCTTCGACAACCGAAGGAGGTTCGCAAGGATTTCGAACATTTCGAAAACGAGTGCCCCGAACACATATCACAACACATGTTTTGGCAACATCAGTATTCAATAAAGCCTGCGCGCGCTCTGGCGAATTTTCAAGACAACCTTTAGGGATTCCAGTCTTTTCATCACATCTTCCAGACGGGTCTCTCGCGCCGCATGTCGGACTCATCCGAGCGCCTTGCCGTGCGTGCCGGAAGGCACGGTCCGTGTCAAACAATATCACGCGGGCCATTCGCGCGGGTCGGCCGCGCGCGCGTATCGATTTCTTTCCCAAACTTTCATCACCGACGCCAGGACATCGTCATCGTTATCGGCGAGCGTGATCAACATCGGCGCCGTGATTGGCCTTGCCGTCGTCATCGCCACCATCATCATCATCATCATCATCATCAGTATCGCTACTCTCATCATCGTGTCTACCGTTGCCGGCGTCGCCATGATGCCGCGCCCGCCCAATTCCCCGACTCGCATTGGAGTGCCCGCTGGGAGTACCCAGCGGTCAGCGCCGCCGCGGCCGCGTCGGTCGCGCCGCACTAGCTGGAAGCTGCGCGCGCGAGCGTGGGATGGGATTCGCAAACCAAGTTGCGGGTGGGTGGGTGGGATATTTGCGCGAAAGGTGGAGTTGGCAACGTCAAGTTCGGCAGGGTGGGTTTGCTTCTCTTCGTAGGAGTTCCCTTAAACTTGGTTTTCCGCCCCCTTTTCCGTATCGTGTTGTTTCGTATGCTTTTGCTTCATCGCCCTTCCGAAATATGAGTGCACATCATCCCACTAGGCCGGTAACGACACCCCCTTTCATCCTCGGTCCGCGTTCGTTTATCACATATCAGCAGTGTCCACAACTCCCGTGCAACAGACGAAACAAAGTGCATGCGCGCGCGCCGTCGCGCAGGTTCCGTGCGGATGTCAAAATCGAGTGCTTACGAAACATCTAAAACCACATGGCTTTTGCAACAAGAGTGTTCGAAACAAGCCTGTGCTCGCGCCCTTGTCAAGTGTCAAAAAAACAAGCAATTCTCCAACATGTTCATGATATGCTACGAAACGGGCCTCAAGCGCGCGCGTGTCGAAATCGTTCGAACTCCTTTTGCGCGCGTGCTGTCACAAGAATCCCTTGCAACAGTTGCAACACATAGGACGGAGTGCACGCGCGCGTGTCGTCGCACGCATGCTGGCTTTTTTTGGCATAAGTAACGTCTTTCTAAGTTCTGAACAAAACGACTGCCCCGAAACCAGTCAAACATGTTTTCGCAACATCAGTTTTCAAAGCAGCTTGCGCTCGCGCTCGTGCGAGTTCTCAAGACAGACATTGTAGTTGTTGTTGTTTCGTTTTTGTATGTGTTTGGCATGTCCATGGCATTGTGCCACACGGGCCTGTCGCGCCGCACGCCGAAATCATCGAAATCCCTTGCGCACGTGGTGGTGGGGGGACGATCCGTGTCACATAATGACATACCGGCCACTTTCCCGCGTCGGCCGCGCGCGCATGTCGAATTCTGTCCAACACTTGCATCGCCGACGCGAAGACTCCGTCATCATCGCTGGCGTGATCGGCATCGGCGCCGTCACTGGCCGTGCCGTCGTCGTTGTCAACGTCGTCACCGACATCGTGACTATCATAATTGTGTCTACCGTTGTCGACGTTGCCATGATGCCGCGCCCGCCCAACTCGCCGACTCGCATTGAAGTGCCCGTTGATATGTGCCCAACGGTCATCGCCACCGCGACCGCGTCGGTCGCGCCGCACTAGGTGGCCGCTGCGCGCGCGTGCATGCGCTGGCTGGCGCGACCGCAGAAATGCGACAGCCAACGCCGAGCACTCAACGCAATCGCCTCCGCATGGGTTTTGCAAACCAAGCGGCGGGTGGGCGGGCAGGATGAGCAGTGGGGTTGACAAGCTCAAATTGAACATTGGTGACTTTTCTTTTCTACAAAGGGTAGAGGATCCACCACCCTCCTGAGGCCGGACTTAACCGTACACCTTTTCGTATCTTAGCGGCGGAATGATTTTGCCTCGTCGTCCATGCTAGATATGATACCGGGATAAGCCCCAACCGTAATATGTTTAAGGTTATGAAGATATGGGGATATAGGGCGACACGGCTATAGGGCTATAGGGCTGTGGAATTGTAGGGTTGTAAGGCTAAAAGGCTATCGGGCTACAGGGCTATACGGCTATCGGACTATGGGGCTATAGGGCTATAGGGTTTTAGGTCTGTAGGGCTATGAGGCACCAGGGCGCTCAGGCACTTAGGCAACTGGGCACCCGGGCACCTCGGCGGCGAACCGCACCCGGGCACCGGCGGCGAACCTTACCTAACCTTATGAATCCGCTAGGACCCCTACAGAGGAAGGCTGTGATTGGGGAGTGAATTCGCACCATCCCAGGGGGGCCAGTATCGACCACTCCCCGCCATCTTCTGCAAAAAAGAGAAGCTTTCGCGCCTTTGAGCAGTTTTTTGCGTCTTCGGGGAAGCCTTAGGAAGCTTCCCCGAAGGCCAGGGGATTTCCGAACCTTCTGAGAGGGCCTTGTCCTTCTTACTTCCCCCCTCGCTCGCCGCCGACACATACTCACCATTCCAGTCATGCCAGTTCTTCCAGCATTGTGATTCGGGGCCTGACTCTTCCAGCCCTCCCGAGCCTCAAATGTCTGCGGGGGCGTCCGGAGCACTGCCACATGCCAGACCACCCAGGCCGTGAGCGTGTGGCTGGCCCAAGGGGGCCCCACCTTTCCAGCAGGTGGGAACTATGGCGAAAAGGAATGCGGTAGGTTCGCGTCGTGTCGACCGGTGGCGACTCCCGTCGCCGGGGTTCAACGTTGAGCGCCGCCAGCGACACAGAATCGGTCGATGTTGGAAGATTTGATGCTTCGGAAACGGTCGATCGTTAAAGGCTGAACGATCCCCGCGGTGTCAGAATCCAACACCTGTGTCGTCACGATACGATCCTGCTGCACACATATTGACGAATGAGGTGGGTGTATTTGGGGACGGTAGGGTATATGGCAACAGCGGCAGTGATGTACATTCGGTCCTAAGGTTTACTCTGGCCCTCGCCCTCCCTGCCCTCTGCCCCTCCTGGAATGGGGGGGGTAGGGAACGAGGCGCACCCTGGCGAGAATCTGGTGCCAGGGCTCGGGGCTTGCTATCAGCTGCTCACGGGGGGGCCGTGGCCTTCGAGGCCCATGCTCCGTTGCTTGCAAGTCGGCGCTCGTGGCGACCTCCCGAGCTCGTGGCGAGCGCCGGCGCGCCGGCCGCGCTCCCCTGCCGGAGGTCGTGAAGGACGTGCAGGAGACCCCGTTCTCCGAGCTCCACCGGCTGCCGCCCCCGCACGAGGCCCCTCCCAGAGTGCACAGGGGAGGGGGTGTACTCCGGATCCCATAATAAAGTAGCGGGGGTCACATTTGGCGGGGGGGTCTGATTTGAGCTGTCTGGAAGGGTTCGGGGGGGGTCTGGGCAAAGTGCCGCCCTTTCATGGATGGTCTGGGGGGGTCTAAAACTTCTGGTCTGGGAGGGTTGTGACCCCCTCCCTTTCACTACGAAATCTGGTGTACCCACGGCGGGGTCAGGGAGCGAACCCAGCTTGAGGCTGGTGGTTCCATTCTCTTCAGATCCGCCATTTGGCCCGGCCCCCTATTCACGCGCCCCCGATGTCTCCATGCGCATTTCTTTCGCATTGCCTTTGTCCGTTTCCGCCTCTGACCCCGTCTCATTATCACCAGTGGCAAGCATGTGCACGACTGGCGCCAACATCCAAGTGCCCAGCGAGAAAGCACGTAACATCCACAACAGCGCGCAGTTCGCGCGCCATCCGCCGCAAGTGTCGAGCACGGATATCCCAGCGGGCTCTGCGCGCCCTCATTGTCCCAGGCCGCGACTTAGAATTTGATGCCGTCGCGCAGAGGGACGCACGCCTCGGACTGCTTGGGCAGGCGCGTAGAGACACGGATCTCAACGTCAAAGCCGAGACGGTCCCTGACCGCGCGCAACATTTCCAAGGCGGAGGCCCAGTAACCATCATGGCTGAATTTCCCGATCGGGGTGTTCACGCACATTCTCGGAGCTTCGCAGAGGAGGGCCTTCCTCCGACGAGCCCCCACCACCAGGCGCGATCTCGGAGCGGTCGCGGCAGTGAGTCGAGGCCCCGACTGATTCGCCAACGCCTGGCTCCAGACAGCTAAGGGTAAGTCCGAATGTTCTGCATGGCAACGCGGCCCCCTGTGCAACTACCTCTGCGGCGGTGACCACGCACAGCAGAGGAGAATGCAGATGGGGAATCTCGGCCGATCCGCCCCCACCTGCGTCGCTGGTGCAGCCAAGAGGAGGATGCCCAGGAACTCGCCGTCTGGAGATGTCCGAGCTGGGCCGGCGAACCAACGGCTCTGGCCAATCTGATCCCTGAGGAACAGTGGAGAGACGTCCCGCCGCGCGCGCGGCACTGCGGGCCCCCTGAAGAGGACGCCGAGCCCCTCGACTGGCAGGCCGACCTCGCCCGAGACGAACTCCCGCAGCCCATCCCCAGGCCGCTGCCAGCAGGCCGCGAGGAGGACCGCATCGAGGAGTGCACCACCCCCACCACGGGAGCCAGGCGTGCGCCCCCCGAGATCCTTCAGCTCGGCGATCTGGCCCCTGAGCGTCTCCATGGCGACTGGGGAGGCGAGGATTACTGAACTGATGGATTTCGGTATGCCAGGACGTCGAAACTCATCGGTTCAGTCATCCTCGCCTCCCCAGTCGCCACGGAGACGCTCAGGGGCCAGATCGCTGAGCTGAAGGATCTCAGGGGGCGTAAGGTGGGCTTCCGCAGCCGCCGTCGGGGCGCGCCCGCGCCAGCCCCCCTCGCCCGCTCGCTGGCGGCAGGGCCCGGCGCGCCTCGCGCGACCAGAGCGCCGGCCGAACCCCACCCTGCCCGGGGGGCTCGCGGCCCGGCGCAGTCAGAGCACCGCGCGCCGAGGCCCCGCCGCGCCCTCGCCCCGCCGCCGCGCCGGCGCGGCCAAGGCCACGCCTTCGCCGGCGATGCAGCCGCATCCGCTCGGGCTCGGAGCCCGCCTCGAGGGCACTCCCCCGCACAGCGGGTGCTCGCAGGCCGACTCCTGGCAGAGAACCCCTCGGGAGACCCAACCCAAAAACCCGACAGTGTTTACTCGCCCTCCACCTCCGAGGGCAAGGGGCCAACGAACGCTGTGGCTCACCGACCGCCGAGGTCCTTCCACCGTCGCGCTGGCGAGCTGGCAACAGCGGGGGCCCGCGCACATCCCATGCCGCCGAGCACTTCCGCTGCTCGACAGACGAGCTGGATGCTTCAGGCCGGGCCGGAACTCCACCGGGTGAAACCCCGCCCTTTCACGACAGGCGGCGGCGGGGATGAGCCTCTAGGCCCGCCCAGAGGCCCGCCCCAGCCCCAGGACCCCCCAGAGCCAGTGCACTGCGACGGGCCTGACGATCCATGGGGCATCCACCCCGACAGCTCCGACGGCGAAGAGGAGGGCCCACTCGGCTTCTGGGGGGCTCTCGACAGCGACGGGGGCGACGCTCCTCGCCCGCCAGATTGCCGCGACAGCGACGGTCGCGACGCTGACGACGATAGTCCACCTTCGCGTCCAAGCAGGCACATGATGTCATGAGATCGGTGGCCCAGGATGCGCGAAGGTCCGCCAGGACCCCACGTCAGGCACTTCACTGCGATCTACGTGGGTCGGCACAGAGGCGCGCCACACGGGCGGCGGCGCGGCCCCTGCCGGCCCGCCCGACACAGACAGCCAGACACCAGGGCACATCGTCGCCAGCAGCGCCACCTGCCTGGAGGAGGAGGAGGAGGAGGAGGAAGAGGAGGAGGAGGAGGAGAGGGAAGAGGAGGACGAGGACGAGGACGAGGACGAGGAGGAGGAGGAGGAGGACGAGGAGGAGGAGGAGGACGAGGAGGAGGAGGAGGACGAGGACGAGGACGAGGAGGAGGAGGAGGAGGAGGTTGAGGAGGAGGAGGGCGAGGAGGAGGAGGAGGCAGGGAGGGGCTGCGAACTGCGCCCCAAGGGGCCAGCTCCGCGGCTCCAGCCCGCTGGGCTGGCCAGTGCTGCCGCGCACCCAGACCCCCAGCGCAGCGCTCCCTGCCGCCAGGCAGGTCCCCCGCCCCACCAGGGCACGGAGACCAGGGGCTCTGGTATGGAGTCGGGCCTGTCCCTCTACAGGGGGAATGTTAAAAGATAGTCAACAAATAGTCTGGAGACGATGATTCGACTGTTTTTGAGCATTTGCGGAGTATTTTTTGCGTATTCTTGATTTTTCGCCCAAAGTCCCCCTGTAGGGGGACAGGCTCGACCTAATTCTAGTACCATCCACCAGGGTATAGGCGCCCGAGTGGCACGCGTGCGGCGCCCCGATCGGAGACGCACCGCTCGGAGTCGCGCCCGTAGGATTTGGTTGCAGTGGGATTCCGAAGCCGAGCTAACCGCAAGTACTGCGTCGCGGCAGCAGCGTGCCTCCAGACTCGCTCACGCCGCGTTGTATTAAGCCGGGCCTGTCCTTCTACAGGATGAGTGTTCAAAAACAAATAGTCTGGGGACGACTGTTTGCGTATGTTTGAGCATTTGTTTGAGCATGTTTTGACTATGTTTTACTTTGTTGTTCAACATCCTCCTGTAGGGGGACACGCCCGACTTACGCGTAGTATCCGGAAGCATCTCAGACCCCTTTTGAAGGTTCCACGGGGCACAGGCCGCTTGGAGCGACTTCCAACGGGCCTTCCACAAGCCTGGTTTCCATGGGGCCACTCCCCAGGAAGGCGTCAGGCGAGACTCGCTGCTGCCCGCTAGCGCGCCAGTGCTAGCCTCCTCTACTCTTTCCTCCGTGCGCTACGAGAGCTCTGACGACATGTCCCGTTGACCTCGCATTGGGTCGCCGAAGGGGGTGCCTCTCTGAGGGCCCCGTGGCGCGCAGGCCACAGCGCTCTTATGTAGCCGGTGCCTCTCGGCTTCCTGGGGTGCAGGAGGGGCGAGCCTCGCACATATCACCCCATCCCGCTTTTGCTTTACAGTCCTTGGCATCGCTCGGACGTGTGCCTTTTTCCTTTGGCGAGGGCCATCGAGGAGCATCCTCGATCATCCGGCGAAAGAACCACGCACGGAACCGAAAAAAGCACAGGGAATGGACGTCCGAGCGGTGGCGAGAGTCGGGGTCCCTTTCCGACCGCGCCAGGGGGGACTCTGCCGCCCCCTGCCGCCCACATGCGGCACCTCCCGCCAGCGAGGTGCGGGCCGTGGGTGCTGGCAGCTCCCGCCCGCGGACGGGCGCCCGCCCGCCCTCCTCGGGTTCGCTCTCTGCCTCCTTCTCCCTCCCTGCGAACCCTCCCCTCCTTGCCTCGCTCCCTCCTCTTCCCTGCCCCCCCTCCCCCACCCTCTTCCTATGCGCTTGCTTGATCTCCCATCAGGTCCTTGACTTTCCTCATCCTGACCCTCCCACCTCTCCCTCGCTCCCGCCCTGCCTTTTTTCCGGCTTGCCCTCCTCGTCCTTTCTCATGCTTCCCCTCGGCCTTGTCCTCTGCAGGCACCGCGGTGTTTCAGCCTGACCAGGCGTTGCGTGCCCACGGATAAGTTAGTTCTGGGGAGGGCACGTTCGCTAACACAAATACCCAATGTGTTTCCAGTCGCTTTTGCAAATCTCTCACGCTGGATAAGCGAGATCATCTTGCCAGCGGCGGGAAGGGCAGAGCAGAACGTGCGCGCGTGCAGAGGTCGCGGGCCTGGAGTTGGAGAAGAGATTTGTGTGCATTCAGCACCAGGCGCCCGCGGTTTGTGGCAGGGGGGGGGGCAGGTGGCAACCATCTCTGCCCCACGCCGTGCAAGCATGAGTGGAGGAGGAGGAGGAGGAGGAGGAGGGCGACGAATAGTGGAGGATACAGACGACCCCTATGCTCTTCGGAATGGCAGCAACTGTGCAGCAGTGCCTGCTGAGCAGTGGCCTGGCGCCGACCGTGGGGTGGTCACTGCCGCCCTGGCGGGGCTGGACGGTCGCAGCAGGCGCCCCGCGCTTGCTCGAGCGGCGGCTGCCAGGGTCCCGCGCCGCGGCGGGGGCCCGCGCGGCCACGGGGCCCGGGCAGCGTCCGCCTGGAGCAGAGCGGTCGGGGACGGCGCCTGACGTCTGGTCGCAGTCGCCGCGGCGCCCGCGTCGCGTGGGCTCTCCCGGGCGCGCGGTGCTCTCCAGCGTCTGTCGGGCGGCCTCGCAGCGGGCGCCCGCGGCGTCGACGTCGCGCCCGCTGTCCAGGAGTTGAGCCTGGCCACGTCGAGCGTTCCCCGCTTGTGCTTGGCCCGGCTCTCCAGGGTGAGCAGTTCGGCTACCAGCCTGGCCGTTGGGGTGCTTCGCCGCCCGGGCACGCGCCTGGGTCTCGAGAGCCCCAAAACATCGTGGGTGGTCTAATGCGGGCCCCTTTGACCGAAGGCCGGTTCGCCCTCTTTGGGAGTCGTCCATTCGGCGACCCTCGTCGCCGCGGAGCCTCACTCAGAGAGTGGCGCTTGCCGTGGACCGTTGGGCGCCCAGGAGCGTTGTGATGACGGCTGCCACGGGGCCTCGGAAGATGTTCCAGCGCTGAGCGCCCGCGCGCAGCAGCTTTGGAGCCACTGCCGTCCAAGCGAGAAGAAGGCGCCAGTGCAGAGCGGACCCATGCCTTCACAGTCCCGAGTCAAGAGGAGTTGCTTACGGAGGGCGACGCGGGGTCGCCTTGGCCCAACGTCGCCGCGAGGGCCATATCGAGGCACCGCTCAGGGCTGCTGCCAACGGTTGCCGCGGCCAGCGTGCGATTAGTTTAATGCGCCTCTGGATGGCACGTTGTAGCGAACGTGCAGCCGCACCAGAAACAATGTGCAGGTCCGTTTGTAGCGGCACTCTCTTGCTGATTGGACCCGCAAGGGTTGCCCGCGGCGTTGGTTCAACTTGAATATGGAAGCGCGATGTTGTGGTAGCGTTTGAGATGTTGGGCACGGCAGAAGCAAAACACACGACTGTGAAGGCATTAAAGATGTTCCAGATCAGAGGCGTCGTTTTGATCCGCAGGGGGATCATTAATCTTGGGCCCAAGCGGATGCGTAGGAGGATGAGGTGGAGGAGGGTGGAAGGGGTGAAGGTAACGGGCCATGATGCCTCCATGTCATGGTATATCCGTGCCGCGACACTTGAGGCACCATGTTGTCGCCTTGCCGTGCTGCCTCCGTGTCTGGCAAACTGTTGCGCTACAAGGTTCCACGTCAGTTTATGCCATAGTTCATATGATGATCGTGCTAGGCATACCTTCATGTTTATCAACGCGTTGCATATAGTTTCGCAGGCTGAATTTTGATGAAGTGGTACGCTTAAGCTAATGTGTCAGCTCTGGATGTGTGAAGGTGCGTGCGCACACGGACAGCAGGCAAAGCGTGCACCACATGTTGGCACGCGTGGACCTGAAAGCGCGGCTCTTGCTCTGTCCGTGTGCCACGCTGTTGGGCGGCATTTGCACGGTGCAGCCCCCGCGACGAGACCTCCAGATCTCCTCGTCCTCCTCCCCAGGAAGAGGGGGAGGAGGGGGAGGAGGGGGAAGGGCCGGAGGAGGAGGAGGAGGAGGAGGGGGAGGAGGAGGAGGAGGAGGAGGAGGAGGAGGACGAGGAGAAGGGGGAGGAGGAGGAGGAGGAGGACGAGGTGACGCTGTTGGGCGGTATTTGCACGCCGTGTGGTGCAGATCTCCAGTCGCGCTGCCTCGCGATGCCGCCGCCGCGCCTCCGGCTGCCGCCCCCCTGGGACAGGCCTCCGCCCTCGGGGCCTCTCTCTCGGGGGCCTCCTTCTCCTCCTCCTCCTCCTCCTCCTCCTCCTCCTCCTCCTCCGTCCTCCTCGTCCTCCTCCTCCTCCTCCTCCTCCTCCTGCGGAGCTGACGGCCCCGCGGTCGCGCTCGCCGCCGTGGCCGGCATGCGCTTGCCCTGGGCGAAGGCCCAGAGATTGACACCAACACCAAGATCGGCGGTGTGCCTCCACCGAGGGAAGGCGATCCCGATCTCGGTGATGGTGGTAATATTCTGGCCTCCAAGGTGACCGAAATGTTACCACCAGCACCGAAATCTAAGATCATCCTCTCCCTGTGGAGGCAAACCCCTGTGCTGGTGTTGGTGCCAATTTCCAGGCCTCCAACTCCTGGTTCGTCTCCGTCAGGGCGCTCTCGGTGGCGCTTCCGGATGCCGCTCCGGGTGTCCCGCCAGACCGCTCTGGGGCTCTCTTGGGGCGCCTCGGCGCCGCCTTGGAGGTCTCTCGAAGGCCGTCTTCCGTCGTGGGGCCGTCTCAGGGGATTTTTCGGGGGCCCGTCCTGGGGTCCTCCTGCGCCGTCTTGGTGCCCGCTTTGGGGCCTCTTAGGCGGCTCTGGGGTTGTCTTGGAGCCCTCTTGGGCCGTCTGAGGTATTCGGGTGCTCGAAGAGGCGCCATACGCTCAAATTGCTGATACACGGCACGAGAAAAGCAGCCCTTTTTAGATGCATGTTGGTGCATCTTGGGGTCATCGTGGCCGTCTTGGAGGCCATCTTGGACCGTCCTGGAGACCATCCAGGACCGTCTTGGAAGCCCCATTGGCCTTCCTGGAGGCTCTCTTGGAGCCGCCTTGTGGGCGGGGTGGGTGGAGCTGGGGTCCAGGCGAGCGCCCCAACGTTGCCCCCCATAGTGGCCCTCCATCTCTACCCCCATCGTTGCCCCCCACCGCTGCCCCCCAGCATTGCCTCCAGTCGTTGCCTCCAGTCGTTCCCCCCACCGTGCCACCCCGTGGTTGCCACCCCATGGTTGCCCCCGCTCGTGGCCCCCAGTCGTTGCCCACCCACCGCTGCCCCCCATCGTGGCCCCATCCTCCTTGCCGAAGGTGACCTGGGAAGGCTCGAGTGTTCCACTTTGTTGAGCGACGGCTCTCAGAAAGGCTCCTCTTGTGAATGTCAGAAGGGTTGTAAGTATAGTTCAAAGGTCTCTTTGGGGCGGGCTACGCGCCTGAAACAACCTTACCAAAGAGCTCCCCTTTGACGGGCCAGTTTGGGCCACTTCGGAGCCATATCGGGTAATATCCGGGGCCTCTAGGGCCGCGTAGGGGCGTGGAAGGTACCCTGGTCAACTCGCCGCACCGCTGTTTTCAACGAACGGGACACGTGTGGTAGGGGGACCCAGAACATCCCACGAGCCTCGCCATCCCTGAATCTACCACGTGCGCTGCTCGGCTTCTTGCGTCTTGTCTTCCTCACACGCGTGGCAGTCCGATCAGCGCAGGGGATGTTTCGATCGGCCCCCCGGGTGCGTCGGATCCCCCCTCCTCTCGGGACGATCGAAATTGGTACAAAGACCGACAGCAGTTCTTGATAATTTTGAACAGGGTTCGCTGTCCGCGTCGCCGCGGATGTTGTCCATGTGAGGCAGGACGCCGCCTGCCCAACAGCGGCCGCTGTCGGCTTTGGACAGCTCTTGCTTCAGGAGGTGAAAAAAATACACAGACACAAGTAATCGCCGATTCCCCAGAAAATATGGGAACGTATGGGAAGCGGGGGGGGGAAGACAAAACACCCAGAAAATATGGGAACACATAGAAAAACCTTTGATGTGTGTCTATTTATTTGTGTGTCCCAGGGCCCCTTCACTGCTGTGGGGCATTGCAGCCATTCTTTCTGTATCCGTTTTCCTGGCGTGCAGATCCTCCCTCCGTCTGCCTCGCGCCGGGACGCCCGCCGGGAGCCCCCCCCCCCTTTCCTTGGTGTCGCTCGGACGTGTGCACTTTCTCTCGGCGGGGATTCTTCAGGAGCATCCCCGATCATCCTGCGATAAGACGAGGAGGAAGAGGAGGAGGAGGAAGGAGGAGGAGGACGAGGAGGAAGGAGGAGGAGGGAGGAGGAAGTGGAGCATCCTGGAGCAGCACGACGCCGAGAAAGGCGCAGAGGGCGTGGACGTCCGAGCGATGGGCCAGGCTCCTGGCCGCGGCGAGGGCTGCGGCCACGGGCAGCCTCCCCTGCCCGGAGCTCCGAGGAGAGGCACGAGGAGGAGGAGGAGGAGGAGGAGGAGGAGCAGGAGGAGGAGGAGCAGGAGGAGGACGAGGAGGAAGGAGGAGGAGGAGGAGGAGGAGCAGGAGGAGGAGGAAGGAGGAGGACGAGGAGGACGGAGGAGGAGGAGGAGGATGAGGAGGAGGAGGAGGAGGAGGAGGAGAGGAGCCCCCGCCGAGCCCGGAGCGGTCCTCCCCCTCCTCTCCCGCGCGGCCGTGCTCCAGGGCTCTGCCCTGCGTCCGACGGGGTCGCCCAGCCATCCCCAGCGTCCCGCCTCTCCTCCCTCCCTCCTCCTCCTGCTGCTGCTTCCTCCTCCCTCCTCCTCCTCCTCCTCCTCCTCCTCCTCCTATCTCCTCCCTCCTCCCTCCTCCAAGGATAAGAGGCCAGGGGCAGCTTTTGTTGACAGCTCTCAGCGGCATGACGCTGCCGCCACTCAGGCTGCTCAGCCCGAGCAGCGCAGACGCGCGAAGGAGCGCGTCTCGAGGCCGCCAGTCCCTCGAAGGAGAGGAAGATTCAGATGAGCCCCGCTGGCGGCGCAAGTGGCAACATGTCGGGGCGCTCTTCGGGAGGCAGGAGAAAGTGCGCCAGCGCCACGCAGCCGGAGCTCGTTCAGAGGCCTGCGCTGATAGCAGGAGGCCTTAGGGGGGAACACAAAAACGTCCGTCTTCGCCCTCCAGCTTGGCATTTGTCTCTGCGCCGCTTTCTATGGCTGTGCTTGCGGATATCAGCCAGCGTTGATTCCAAATCGATTCGACGACTCAAATCAAAGAGTCAGAGAAATCAAGCATGCTTGAAATCCGCAACTCAGCAAGCAAGCAAGCGCGCAAGCAAGCACGCAATCAAGCGTGCAAGCGCGCAAGCACGCAAACAAGCAAGCAAGCAATCAAACAAGCAAGCCAGCAGGCATAGGCATAGGCGTAGGCGTAGAAGTTAGGGGGGAGGCATAGGCATAGGCATAGCCATAGGAATTCGGGGGGCATTGGAAATAGGGGGGAACGGAGCAATAAGTAGGGTTTGAGCTAGGATTCTTATAGGGAAGCCTATTTGGTGAATAAAGGCCCCTAGTAGTTATGTCGGGAAAAGCGCGGGCCCAACTGTGCGGCATGTTCGTATATGTTTGCTTGTCGCCTGTTCCCCATTCCTCTTGTTTCCTCCTCTCCCTTCCACCTCCCATTTTGGTCTGGGCTTTTTTATTTCTGGCATGGGCCAGGGTTTGAGGCTGCCGACGCCTGAACAGCCAGCGCTGGGCAACCACACGGCCCACGCTCCCTTCTCGTCGTCTTCTTCCTTTTGGCTTCTCCTCTGCCCAGAAACCGCCGGGGCAATCACTGTCACGGGTGGATTTGGATGCCGTCTTGTTGTTGCCCCATTTCTTCATTCCAGGCAGACGTTTTGTACACGAGTTTGCTGAGTGCACGGCGGTTTGTGCGGCGTTTTGGTTTGCTTGGCGGCTCCATGATTCGCACCACGGTCATAAATAGCCGGTGCGTCGGATTCTGGTGGTCGCGTTCCTTCCCCCTCTTCATCGAACAATTGTTTCACAACAACTATTTCCTCCTCGTTTCCTCGCCTTCCCTTACCTTTCTTTCTCCACCCCCGTCTTTCCCCCCCCCCCCCCCCGCTTCGTCATCCGTACCCTCCTGTCCTCGTCCACCTCCTCCTCCTTCCCGATGCCCTTGGGCCCCGATTTACAGGGACGCGGTTTGGAAGCTGACGACCGCGGAGTGTCGCACCTCGGCCTGTTGATGCCCGACGCGTGCCCTCTCTGGAAAGCTCGCCCGCCTCCAGCTTCTTGTTAATGTCCTTTACCCTCACCTCCTCCCGCTCCCATTCCACCCCCCGCCTTTCCATCCACCTCATCGCCCTTCTCCTGCATCCTCGCACTTTCTCCCTCCTCCGTTTCCTATCTTCCTCCTTCGCAGCATGTTTTGTTTCTCCCTTTCCTGTTTCTTCTTAGTATCATCATTCGTCGTCTCATTCATATCAGTGTTTTCTTATGATTATTAGGAGTAGTAGTCTTACTATTAGTATTGCGTTTATTATTCGTTTTCCTTCTCCCTTTTCTTCCGTTTTCCTCATTCGCCATCTTCCCCACCTTGCCTCCCCCATTTTCCCCCTCCTGCTGTGTGTGTGATCCTTCTGTGGCCCTCACGCATTTCCCCCCTCTTCTGCTCATCCTTTTCCTCATGCCCATCCCCCCCATGGCCTCCTCGCTCCCTCTTCCTGCCATGTATCTTCCATGAGTTTCTTCCTCATGCGCAGCCTCCTCTTCATCGGTCGCTTCCTTGACCCGCTCCTGGAGGGAGGAGGTGGAGGAAAAGGAAAAGGGGGAGGAGGACGATTGTTGGTTACGGTTGGTCCTCCGCCTAAGAGCGCCGGCAATGCGGAGAAGGAGAGGAGGGGGACGAGCGAGTAGGAAGAGGAGGCGCGAGGGAGATGAGGAGGAAGACGACCGGCACCAGTTGGACCCGCTCGCAGCGTACAGCGTACAGAAGGAGAACGAGCGGTAGGAAGACACCACGACGAAGAAGAAGAAGTTTGTGTAAAGATGAGGGAGACGACGACCAGATCGATGACGATCGCGACGGCGACAGCGATGACAGCGCTGATGACGACAAGGCCGACGGGCAATGCCTCCTAGGGACAGGGGGATGAAGGGGGAGGGAGAGACTTGGTGCAGATATGCAGGCGTGCAGGCGGTTGCCCGTTTGCTGTTTTGTTGTAATCGGATCTGTGTTGGCGAGGCCGACTCTGCGGCACTGTAGAGATACGCTAAAAGCAGATACGCTTGGTCAGGTACGAGCGCGACCGCTTCTACATGTGTATGAAAATACTGAGGTCAGGCTTGGCTCCTGTCTATCGCTTGCAGTCGTCGCCGATGTACAGTTACCAACCGTCCATGCCGCCCTACAGTCGTGATTGAAGCCATGCGTGTGTACTGCAATGCGGACGTATAAGTTGATGCTGCCGCCATCGTCGGTCCATGGTCTCTGTAGCGTGGACGGACGAAGGACGAGGGCGAAGCCAGCCGGAGGATGGGTAGGGACGAGGTGGAGGACAACAAGGAGCGAGAACAGCAGGAGGATGCATATGTTGCAAGTTTTGACGCTTCGTTTTCCCAAGCAGCCCATCCAGAAACGATGCCCATGGGAGTTGTATTGATCAGGGAAGTGTACGTCGGAGCATTCAGTGTAACCGAAGCTCGAGATCAGCCTGAGCAGTCCCAGAAGTTAACCAGAATTGCCTTCTCGGATCTTTCGTTATGTCCTTGGGCAGCCGACTTGGGCATTATTGATGCAATGCTTGGAAGTCTGAGGGGCCCTTTTGGGACTCTGTTGGGGTTCTCTTCGGGGCCGTCTTCAGAGGGCATCGGTCAAAGCAGGGGGGTCCCCCAACAGCGTCGCCCCTGGAGTCCCAAACACGCGGATTTACACATTGAAGCATCGTTAGACTCTCAGCCCCTTCCGTCTGCACTTGCATTCATCGCGTTGCACTGTCTCCTCGCTTCCCCACCTTCTCCGCAGCCGCGTGAGTCGGTGGTGCGCACAATGAAATAATCATTCATGGTGGCCGTGGCGTGAACTTGCGTGCGCTGGCTGAACCAAGGGGCAGATAAAGTGTAGGATGATGAGTTTGAGCAAGAGCTAACATTTCCTGGAACCATCTTGGGGCGCTCTTGGAGCCATCCTGGAACCGATTTTGTGGCTCTCGCTCGAGCCATATGGAGGCCTCAGAAGCCCATTGGAAGCGAAACGACGGGAACGCCAAGCTCATTGATTTCGTGAAGGTGCTGGAAGGATCATGGACTCGGGGGCGTCCCTGGGAGGCCCCGTTGCCACTTGGAGCCGCCTTGGAGAGGTCTTGGGGCCTCTCACAAGGCATGTTGGATGCTGTGTTCAGCGATCTTCGGCAGTTTTGTGCCATCCATCTTGGAATTTATCTTGGGCTCTCTGGGACTGTGGTGGAGCAACCTTGGGCGCTCCGACCGCTCGCGCCCCCCCCCGTCCAGACCCAGGGGGCGAGGGTAGGATGAGGGACCTCAGCCCGCAGTGGCTGGTGGGATTTTCCCAGGGGTGTCACGCTGGCTGTCGCCGTTGTTACTCATGTTTGCTGTCGTGCCGCTCCTGGAGCGACGCGTTCGTTACCCCGGTGTTCTGTTCCGTTTGCTCTCGGACATTGTAGCCCATACTTCACCATAGTGCTCCCACCCCCGTCTCCTGCCCCCCTCGCACAATAGGAAGGAGCGGGGTAGAGAGGGGGACGGCGGGAAATGATCGTGCGGCCCGCCTGTCATGGTTCTGTCCGACTGGAATCCCGGTGATGATGGACTTGGCGATGACGATAATGGTGATAATGGTGGCGAGAATGACGGTTCTACGTCTGCGTCGCCACGCAACGGTTACAGTATAGTGATTATGTGGCACTGACGACCCCCTGGGAGCCCTGGATGCTTCTTTTCTGGAGGGCGTTGTCGTAGAAGCGTCATGGCACCGCGCGTCCATGTGGGAAACCAAAGCCGTGCTCAAAAGGGTGCGACGATCTCACCGAGGAGCCCCAAAGGGATCGGAGCATTATGATGGCGCTAATGATGACATTCATGATGTACGCCCCCAGTGCGAATTCTTTTACCTGGTGGATTCGCAGGATTCACGATCACTAGGAATAGCTCGCAGGAAGGGGGGAACAGTACCCCACATAGCTTTGACACACGCAGCTTCAATCGGTAACGAGTAAGACAGAAAGAGAAACAATCCATCCGTCGGAGTATCCCTGGCTTACCATGCGGCTTGCAGCGTGCGGCATGCGGTGGAGTAGCTCGGTACATGGATTCAATCGCAGATTGCACACTACCCTACATGAACCCATATGGAAGTTGAACATGATGCGCCGCCACGTGCAGTAGTAACTACTTTGGCGAATGAGGTGTTCCATTGACTTTTGCTACGCCGATCTAGTACGTGCACGCGCTCTTGAGACTCATATCGCATGACACCACGTGAGGGCATATACTTGCGTCGAGTGATATAGAGGGACCAACTTGGCAGTGTAACCAGCACCGATTTCGTGATTGTTAGGCAATCCGCCGCCGCGGCCGTTTAATGCTCAAGAGGGTCTTTAAAAGCTTCGGGGGGTCCCTGGGAAGATCGCCAAGGCCTTGCAGCCAGTGCCGCCGACCCTGGACGACGACCCCCTCGATTGAAGAGGCATGGGGAAGGTCGGGATCAGACGCTCCCAAGAGGGCCCAAGAGGCTACACGAGGCCCCCGAGAGGGGCCCAAGAACCCTAACGAAGTTTTGGGAGTGTCTGGCGAGCCTTTTGGGAGCTTCCTGGGGCTTCCTGGCGGTTCCTTGTCGGCGCCTGGGGGCCAGGGCCCCCCCCCAGGACCCCCCGCCCTACCCGTCCGAGGACGCCCCCCCCCCCCGCTGGGGAAGGGATCATGCGGAAGGGGCTTCTTTTCGACTTAACTGCGACGTTGCTCAATTTCGCTTTGGCTGTTCCGCGTAGCTTTTTCGCGTTATCTGGCGCGCTCAAGGAGGAGGGCCCGCCCAGATGCTTCTTGAAGTCTAATCGGGGAGCTCACAGGAGCCTCCTGGAGGGAAGTTTTGAGGGTGTCTTGGGGGCAGTTCGGAGGCCTCCCAGACGTTCCTGGTGGTTCCTTGGGACCGCCTAGGTGCCTCGTGGGGGCCTCTGGGGGGTCTTTTAGGCCCTCCCAGGGGAATGGCATTCTGACCCTGGACCTCCCCCGGACCCCCCCCCCTGGCGGGGATAGGAGCCAAAGGAAGGCGAGGCGGTCTCGACTGCCATCATCGGGTGTAGGGCTTCGAAATTCCCTTCGAGTTCCCCTCAGGACGGCCTCTTGGGCGGGCCGCTCTTTGGAATTTCTTGGAGCTCTGGTTGGGCCTCTGCGGCCGTCTTGGGCGTTCTCCAGACTGCAGAGGCGAGCGCGCGAACACGATGCACAACCCGCATGTGCTTCGAACGTGTCGGTCTCGGGGCGGCCCTCAGTTCCTCCAAGGCGGTCGTCCGACAGGTCCCCAAGAGAGCCCTGGGGCGGCCCCCTGGGGCCAGCTTAGCACCCCTCGGCACTTTAAAAGCACATCGATAAGCGAGGACGAGGCTTGGGGCAATGAAGATCCTCTACGCCCCCCTCACTGCGGCGCAGCTGAGAACCCAGAGGGACCTGAGGTCGTTCCTCTCGGCGCCATGCAGCCAAGTGCGCCGTCGAACTCCCTATGAGAGAAGTTTCCCGTGAAGGATTGACGGAAGCAGAACTACGACCACCGTTGCGGATATTGAAACGAAGCAGCACGGTGGTTGAAGACGTGTTGATCGCAGAAGTGTTGAGGACAGGGCATGCCAATTTGATATGTGGATTCGCAGAATTCTGTTTTTAAGTATTGTGTGAGGTCGTGCAGCCGCGAGAAGACTGGGCGCTTGCCAAATGACCTGTCCTCCTCTAGAAAAGGGGGCGCGTCTTCGCTTGAGACCTACGGACTTCTTGCATCATGGCCCGTGATGGCGAAGTGTTCAGCACAATGTCGGCTTCATACCCAAGCGTGGTTGCGCAGATACCATGCACTATGCACAGTGATGACTGTCATTGAACAGTCAATGGGAGTATGGTCTTTGGGTCGCCAGTTTCGATGATGAAACGCATGTGATTGCGTGCACCCCTCGGCATGCTGTTTTGCCTTACTAGGTTCTTGCATGTTCCGTTTACGGTTTGTGTTGAGACGAGGGTATTTCGGCGTCAGATGATAAGTTTCTCCCGGGGCTGAGGACGAAAGCGCAGCAATTGGTCGTAGGATCGTGGGGAAGGGCGTCGGGGGATCGTGTTTTTGAAAACTTAGGGGTCAGAATGTCCAGAAAAAATGCGCGTCGGGGCCTGCCCTACCGCGGGCTCCACCGGGTTGCACAGCAACCCGTGTTCCAGCAAGTGTTTCTGAAGGCCTGGAAAGAAGTATGTCGATTTGCAGCACAGCTTCTTTATCAACATGTTTGCTTCTCACGTCAATACGCGGTGACAGTGGCGGCGGATTAACTAAAACAGCGTTAAGAGCAACGGTTGGCATCGGGTGGTATGGTGGTGTTTGTGGCACGAACTCGTTTGCCCCAGGATTCTATATGAAGTTGGAGACATCGTTATATACGTAGCAACCTGTAGTGGTACCAAGATTTTGCGAACAACCTATATGCAAGACACTCTTGAGTTCCGCACTGTGGAGCTGCGCTCGTAAGGTCTGAACCCGACGGTCTCTCTCCGGCCGCCGTTTTGATTTGCTCTTGTGGGGTGTGCGGCCCAATGAAAAAGAACGGTGTCATTGCCTTGCCAATGTGAATGGTTAACTTCTTGCTATCACAGAGTATTGAGACACGGTCGCCAACGTAGCGTCACGATGTCAACTTTGGTGGCATACATGGGGTGAGTACCGTACGCGGATGTGCAAACAGACAATGTGAGGTGAGCTCGCTCGCGGGAGGCCAGGCTTCGGCCTCCGCGCCTAGCACGGAACACGCCCCAAAACGCTCGTGCTGCCAAATGCTTCCCCATTCCACTCCTCCTCCTCCTCCTCCTCCTCCTCCTCCTCCTCCTCCTCCTCCTCCTCCAGCCCTCGTCGTTCATCCTTGCTCCGCCTCATTCCTCCCTCTCCCTCCCCTCTCTCTCTCGCTCTCTTCCTCGCCTGGCCGCCAGGGTCTGCCCTCCCTCCCCGCGCGGCCCCGCCCAGCCGCCCGCTCCAGGTGGGCGCAGCAGTCGCGCAGAGACCGCGGGGGCTGACGCTCCCCGCCCCTCTGCGGCGGGCCCCTCCCCGTGCCCCGCTCGGCGGTGGGCGGGAGGAGGCGGAGAGAGAGAGGCAGAGGGCCGGAGGGGGGAACAGAGGGCAGAGGGCAGAGGGCAGAGGGCGGTGGGCAGAGGGCAGAGGGCGTGGGCGGAGGGCGGAGGGCAGATGGCAGAGTGGGCGTACCTCTACCCTTCGCCCGTGTTCCCCTCTTCGGGCCTCCCGGGATGCCCCCGTCGCCACCGCCGGGCTTCGCCTCGGAGTCCTGGCGAGGATGCGCCCCGGGCGAGGTCCGGGGAGTGGCGGTATCGGCACCTTTTGGTCTCCCCAGGGGGGGTGGAGGCGGTGGCGGGCGATGCAGCGGAGGGGGGGGACGCGGAGGAGACGGACGAAGAACGCGGATGTGCATACGCAACGCGTTGTTGCGACAGGACAGCGCAACGGACGAGCAACGACCACAGGGTAATGACATTCAGAGCGAGCTTGTCGTGGCATGACACTGTGGGTGCAGAGTGACGACGGCACGAGGATAAAACATGGGTGCGTCATGTATTGGAGGTCTTGCGGCCGGTGCCACCGACCATGAACGACGACGACGGCGACGACGACGATGACGACGACACCGACGACACCGACGACGACGACTACGACGACGACGACGGTGCCGACGACGACGAAGACGACGACTACGACGACGACAACGACAACGACGCCGACGCCGACGCCGACGCCGCCGCCGCCGAGTACGACGACGCCGACGACGACGACGATGCCGACGACGACGACGACGACGACGACGACGACGACGACGACGACGACGACGACGACGAGCGCTCTCGGGAGCCTCTTGGGGGTAGTTTTGGGGCTTTATGGGGAGTCTCTTGGGGGCCTCTCGGGAGCCTCTTTGGGGCCTCTCGGGGATCCCCGGGTGTCTCTTTGGGGGCCTCTTTGGGAGCCTCGTGGGTGGTCTCTCGGTGGAGCCTGGCGGCCTCCTGGGGGCGCCTGTCGGGCCGAGGGCTCTCGGCGTGTCCGTTCGGCTCCGCCGTCCTGGTCTCCCTCGTCGGAGCCGTCCTGGGGGCCCGTGAGGCTGTCTCGGAGGCCTCTCGGGCGGTCTCGGTGGAGGGCCAGCACAGGCGGGGCTGGCGGCGTACGAGGTGGCTCGTGAGCTTTGCGCGGCACGACTGTCATGTTGCAGCTTGTATTGTAGTGGCCTCCGGCCAGTGCCGCCGATCCGGGGCGCTCCTGATGCTAGTGTTGTTGAAATGGATGATGACGACGTCAACGGACGACCAAACGGTCGACGAGCGGGATAATTACGACGACGACCGACGAAGGAATTAATGACGACGAACAGACGACGACGTCGACGACGACGACGACGACGACTGACGGCGAACGGCTGCCGACGACCGACGACTGGTGACGGCGACGGGTGGAAGGTTCTTCTTTCATCGCTGTCGCTTCCGAGCAATACCAAGTGAGGCCGTGCACCTCTGGCCTGGCAGCACGCGAGTGAGCGCGTCTTGGGGCCTCTTGGTTCTTGGGGCTTCTTGGGATTCTTGGGGGCCTTTGGGGCCTCTTGGGGGCCTCTCGGGGTCCTCTTGGGGGCCTCTTGGGGACCTCTCGGGGTCCTCTTGGGGGCCTCTTGGGGACCTCTCGGGGGCTTCTGGGGGCCCCTTGGGGGCGCCTCGGGGGCATCTTGGGGGCTCTTGGGGTCATCTTGGGGTGGAGGACTAGAAGGGTCCGTTCGAATTCACCCTCTTGAGGCCATCTTGGGGGCCTCTCGGGGTCGTCTTGGTGGGCCTCCAGGGCTATATTGGGGCCCTCTTGGACCGTCTTGGCTCCTCTTGGGGGCCTCTTGGGCTGTCTTGGGGCGATCTTGGGGGCCTCTTGGACCGTCTTCGGCGATCCTGAGACGGAGAAGGCGATAATGTTAAAATGCTTCAGAACCTATTAGCAACTTTATTATTGTACCCTCTTGGGGCCCTCTTGGGGGTCCTCTTGGGATCTCCTTCAGCTGTCTTGGAGGCCTCTTGGGCCGTCTTCGGGCCATCTTGGGCGTCCAGGAGCGCTCTTGGGCCGTTTCGGGCGCCTCCTGGACCGTCTTGGTGGCCTCCTGGGCCCCTTTTGGCCCATCTTGGGGCGGTTTGGGATTCCCGGGGGGGGGGAAGAAGAACGCGTGGACCCCATGAACCCCCCCCCCTCCCCCCCTACCCCAGGAGCGCTCTTGGGCTGTTTCGGGCGCCTCCTTGACCGTCTTGGTGGCCTCCTGGGCCCCTTTTGGCCCGTCTTGGGGCGGTTTGGGATTCCCAGGGGGGGGGGGAAGAAAGGGTGGACCCGATGAACCCCCCCGCCCCCTCCCCCCCCAACCCCGGCAGAGCCACCCCGGCCCCCCCCCAGCAGAGCTGAAGCTCAGGTTGTAGCTTTCTTAAACTCACACGCCGGATCGGCGGATTTGGTACCGTGGTGCACATTCTTGGAGTCTCCCGATGGGGGAGCGCCAGCGCGTCGGGGCCGCGGCTCGCGGCGCGGGGGGCCTATGCTGGGACCCAGGGGGACCTCCGAGGGAGCCAAGCAAAAAGCCCTGAGGTCAAGCAGTGGCGAAGCGTCCTAGCGCGCCTATAGGCCCACCAAATAATGTTCCAATAACCTCTTGTGGTCTGCGTGAGGTGTTCGTAGGGCATTTCTGGCCGTTGTTTAGACACCGGGCTTATGTTCTATTGTTTTGGTTATTGGAACATTCTTGGATTCTAGGAGCACCTCGTGGTAGACCTGTAGGAATGCCAGGACGGCGGGTCCCCGCTTAATCTGGGGTCCTTTTGGATGCCTATTGGGCGATATTTGGGGCCTCTTGAGCTGTCTTGGAGCGTCGGTAAGCCGACAAGGCGAGAACGCCAGAATCTTCAATATGTTTTTATTATGCTTGCCCCTTGACGCCTTCTTCGGAGTGCTCTGGGAGGCCTCTTTGGACGTTTTGAGAACCTTGAGCCGTCTGGAGGCTACTTTGGAGTCTTGGACTGGTAGTTCGGCGTGTCGGGGCCCTCTAGGACCGTGTTTTAGGGGGCCTCTTCGGGCACTCTTGCCGCGTCTTGGGGCTTTTCTGGGCCCTGGAACCGCCCGAGGGGGATGCGTATCTGGGGGGCGACCCACCCCCCGGGACCCCTCCAGGACCCCCCCCTGGCGGGGAAGGAATCAAAGGGAAGGGGCTTCCCTTCGACTCAGCTACAACGTTGCTCAATGTCGCTTTGGCTCGCGCGCTGAAAGAGGAAGGCCCAGGGAAAAGAGACGGGGGACGACGGAGACGACGAGGAGACAGTGGAGACGACACGACGACGACGACCAACGGAAGATCGTACTCCACACTTCGACAGGGTCGGAGGATTCGGTTGTTAAGTGCACACGGCCGATCATGTACCAGGCCAAGTCTTGCACCTTGACTCCTGGCTTAAGTCGGGCGTGTCCCTCTACAGGGGGAATATCCAAAAATAGTCAGAAAATAGTTCGGGGACGATGTTTCGACTGTTTTAGAGTATCTGGGGTGTACTTTTTGAGTATTTTTTATCTGTCGCCCAAAATCCCCCTCGTAGGAAAATCCCCCTCGTAGGGGGGACACGCCCGACTTAGATCCTGACCTGCCCTCCGCCCCCCATCCCTCACAACCTGCCCTCCCGCTCCCCGCCCGCCTCTCCCTCCCCTCCTGCACTCGCCACCTCCCAGAGCTATGCAGCCTCCTTGGCCCTGTCGTGGGAGATGGCACTAGGAGGAAAAGGAGGAGGAGGAGGAGCAGGAGGAGGAGGAGGAGGAGGAGGAGGAGGAGGAGGAGGAGGAGGAGGAGGAGGAGCAGGACCACAACCTGGCTAAGGGGGAGGCTAGGGGTTGGCCGACCCGACCCTAACTCGAAACCTCGTGGCACTGGGCCACATGTTGTACTCCACAGCGGCCTCGGCCGCTGAGACGGCAATGCGCTGCCGACGCTGAATACGGTGCTGGGGCCTGGTGTGGCATTGCACGCTGGGCCGCAGCAGCACCGAGAGGGGGGTTGAGCCACGGTCGGGGCGGACTGGCAACCCGAGTCCACCCCCGTGCTCAGGGGCCCCCGTGGGGTCCCTCCTGGTTGACGGTACCCCAAGGCTCGGGTACAAGGCTGGCTGCGTAACCGGCACCGTCGAGACGGGAGGGATAAAGAAGTGTGCGGCGTTCCTTCCCCCTGAGGCGGGGTGCCTGACACGCGTGCAGGACACACACACACACACACGCACGCGCACACATACAGCACACAGTAGGTCGCCAAAACGGGACTCTGCAGTGAAAAGGACGGCATGTCTCGACAGGTTGGCGGTACCCCAACGCTCGGGTACAAGGGCAGGCTGCGTAACCTGCACCGCCAGTCGGAGCGAGAAACAAAGCCCCAGATCGAACCTGCATCGCGCCAAGGCGTGTCTGCGGCCAGTGCCGCAGGAAAGTGAGTGGGCGCTCCTTCCCCCTGAAGCGGGGTGCCTGACACGCGTGCGGGGAGCGCGCACGCACACGCGCACATGTACACAAAGAGCGAGGCGACGCCAGGACGACTCGGCACTGCCCACCCTTGGTGTAAAGAACGCCAGGACGATGGGCAAGCCTCATCCCTGGTGTGGGCCTGTCTGCACCTGGGCTTGATCTGCCTCGCTGGGCAGTTGTTGCGCAGCTTCCATGGCTCTTCGATAAAAATGCTCGAGTGGCTCTGGAGGCGAAACAACGGGGGTGGATGCCCTTCCACTCCTCGGGTGTCTTAGCTCCAGAGCGCGGGCTAGCTGGCTTCTTGAATTGTTCGACGAAAGTTCCCGCGGACACTCTTGAAATAAACGGCCGCGGGTGCCTGTTTCCGAATAGGACCCGCAGGAGCGACACACAATCATCGTGCTGGAATTGAACACGTACTCAAACATCAAACGCTGATGGCCTTTGGGTCTTTACGCTAGCGAGGCTAGGCCCGCGCAGTACCCGGGACATTTTACATCAAGGCGCTTGAGGTACTGGTCCTGGGTCTTGGCCCTGATTCGGCATAGGGTGCAACTAAACGTGCTGCGGATATACTC